TTAAAATTTTTTACTATGTTCCTTTCTTTTTGATTGGAGATCAGCAAAATATTTTTTTCATTTAGATGATTGAAAACAGGCGTCAATTTAATTCAATGAGACACAATATTGTTTAAATGTATTCAAATTTCAAAATGTCTTCATTGAGGTCACTATTTGTTTTTCCACAATGCCAATTTCATCTAGTGCCAGTATTTGACACAATAATCAAATACCGAGTTGGGACTAGACGTACCAGTCGAATAGATATTGAGATATGAGTTACATTTTTGGGGTTTATGCTGTGATAAACTGTATGCTAAAAATATAAAGGACAGCATTTTAGCAGGATACTGGATATTCGATCAACCTTGCAGCTGGATATTCGGCCGCCGAATATCCTGGGTCCCTTTCTTTTTATCGTATGCACAAATGACCAAAGTCAGCACGTACTGAATGCATTGACAACTCCTCAAAATTTACATTTCTTTATTTTACATAAAAATATTATAATAAAACAATCTTCAGTCCATTACTATCTCCTCTTGAATTTTTTTCTGCTATTCTGTTTTTTGGACTTATCATTCCATTTATTCTTATTAGAACTAGATGTTTTCAACTTGAAATTCATACCATCTTTCTCTTTCTTTTTCCAAGAATGTTTTCTCGGATTGAATAAAGGAATGTTCTTCGCTTTCGCATTAGAATTTGCTGCGATGGTATTTTTCATAAGGTCAACTGCTTTTTCCTCCTTGACGCCTTCGTTCAACGAAAGGGATAACTGAGAACTCAACGGATAACTTCCGCTGAAACCTTTAGGAAATATTGGAGTGGCCAAGAGCGATGCTAGATGCTTCCGTTTGATATCGGCTGATTTCTTACATCTCTGAGCATCTTTGGTATCATGTTTTCTAGAGCTGCAATAAACTGTTAAGGAATATAAAAAAAATCGCCCAATGAAGCGGAAATGTATTGAATTTAGTGAGTTTTTAGGTTGTTTCAATAGTTTTGTCCTTCATAATGTCATATGTTTTTGTAGTTCCATACGAGGGTTGCCTTTTATATTTCGGGATTAGAAGACAAAAACAAATATTGATCATAGAAAATCACTTTATTGTTTTTCAAAATATTCCCAATGAAGATCTATACACTTTTGCATGCGTTTGATCCAATTGTCGAAGCACTTTTGCTACTCTGATTGAGGTATTTCCAAAACATGCATTCTGAATGCAGCAACCGCTTCTTCAGGTGTCGAAAAACGTTGACCTCTCAGTTTGTTTTTTACGTGAGGGAATAAAAAGAAGTCATTCGGTGCCAAGTCAGGACTATACGGCGGATGACTCATCAAATCGATGTTTTGGGTTCTCAAAAATGCAGTTGTTTGAGCAGATGTGTGAGAGCTCGCACTGTCGTAGTGGCACTTTGGCGGTTGCTTTTCCTGATTTCTTGGAAGACAACTGGCAAACAAATGGTTGTGTACCACTCAGAATTGACTGTTCTGCGTTGTTCTAGTGGCACGGTTGTGACATATCCAGTTTTTCCGAAAAAATAGGCGACCATTTGCTTGGAAGTGCTTTGTGCACAAACAACTTTTGTTGGATTTGGCTCCTCATGAAACACTCATACAGTCGACTGCTGTTTACTTTCGGGCTCATACGCGTAAATCCACGATTCATCACCTGTCATGATGTCATCGACGTGTTTCGAAGCACCGCGATCGTATTTTTTGAGCATTTCCTTCGACTAATCGACGAGAGCCTTTTTTTGAGCGATTGACAAATTGTGTGGGATCAAACGCGAACAAATTTTTTTGACAGTCAAATGTTTATGCAATATTAAATGTAAGCTGGTCCCACTAATGCCTAAGGTTGTCTCAATCTCAAAATAGGTCACATGACGATCTTGCAATATCAGTTCGCCCACAGCATCAATGGCTTTCGGAACAACAACTGATTTTGGACGACCTTCACAAAACTCGTCTTGGAGTGAACTAAGACCACGATTGAATTCACCATACCATCGATAAATACTGGTCCTTGATGGAGCTTCATCGCCAAAAATTAAACAAAGTTCATCCATGTACTTTTGCTGAGTTAATCCATGTCGAAAGTTTAAAAGAATAATCGCACGAAAATGTTCACGATTTAATTCAATGTAAGTTGCCAAATCCCAAAAAATAAAAGGCAACCTATCGTATCTCCATAGCTCCACGACTGCTGTCGAGATATATATTATAATCGATAGAGAATTTTGTACTTTTTCTAAATTTTAATTTTTTGACACTTTTCAGCTTATTACTAAATGATGTCTCTACAAATTCGAAATGAACCAAAGCGCTGCCGAAACAGCCAATGAGTGCTTAACAGTGATTAATGCACTGTTCCACGATGGTTTGCGAAATTTCTGTCCAAAGATTTCAGCCTCGAAGATGAGCTCTGAAGTGGTCGACCCACAGTAAATCATGACGAGGAGGTGGAGACTGACCAATCACTTTGATGGCTTAAAACGTATTGGAAAGGTCAAAAGGCTCGAAAATTGGGTGCCCCACGATTCGAACGATCGACAGAAATTGTCACGTTTCGAGGTCTGTTCTTCTTTGCTTTTGCACAACCAAAACAATTCCTTTTTGGATCGGATCGTCACGTGATGCAAAGAGGATGTGGATCCTCTACGACAACAGGAGTTGTGTAGGACAGTGATTAGTGGTTGGACACTTATGAGCCTCCCAGGCACTTCCCAAACGCAAAAGTCCACCAAAAAAGACCAAGATTACTGTATGGTGATTAGCAGCAAATTTGGTCAATAAAAAAGGTCCGATCCTGCTCCACGACAACGCCTTCCGCATGTTTAACAAATCACCGATCGAAAATTGAAAGAATTAAGTGATGAAGTTCTGCCTCACCCGTCATACTCCCCAGATCTCTCTCCAACCGACTAACATCTTTTGAAGCACTTCGATAACTTTCTCCCTGGTAGAACCTTCGCCAATCAGGACCTAGCAAAAACGGCCTTCGTCGACTTCATCGAATCCCGACCGCACAACTTTTATGCTGATGGAATTATTCGACTTGTGTTACAGTGGCAATAGTGCAGTGACTCAAATAAAGATCATTTCGATTAAATTGTGTAAATATCCACCAAAATATTAAGGTTTAAAGTAGATTCATAACAACGGACATAACTTTTGAAACAACCAATATTGATTTTATCTGTGACCCGAAAATTTGAAATGACCCAGTTCGATTAAACTTTTGTTGTTACAAAATCCACTTTCAAATCCTGAAATCTAAATCTAAACTTTCATAAAAGGATACAAGTCGTCAACGATTATGTCCATTTCTTCGGCAGCTTTCTGGAACCATCCAGCTTCAGAATTTGCTTTTCTAACTTGTAACTGCAATTTATCCAATTCCCTTGCTAAATTCACCCTATGTTTCACAGCATTCAAGAAATTTTGTTGTATCGGAAAAACTGGTATATCCTCATCTGAAATTTTGAAAGGAGGCTTTACAGTAACTTTTCAAAAGTGGCAGAAATCAAAATGTTTCACAAACTACTGAATATTCCACTTTCAGAAAGCAATTTTCAAAGGGAGTCAAGTTTAAGAAAAAAAAATGCGGTCAACAACGGTTAACCTAGTTTGGTGATGCAACCAAAACAATATCGCTAGTTCAAAAAAAAAACATAGCCTACAGAACAAATATTTTGAGAAAATGTTTGAAAACAATAAAGACAAAACTTCAGTGTTGGATAGATCAGGAGTATGTAAGTTGACTTATGTTTCTTGTCCAAACTTAATATTGGATAAACGGCAAGAACTTTCTACAAAAGAATGAAAGAACATTGATATAGTTTTTTGAATGAGAATACTATTGCAATATTCACAAACCAAAGGAGCATGAGTTCCATCATGATTACAACGTATTACACTTGGAAAAGAAAAGTTCAAAACTCAATCTTCAGGAATTCTTGGAAATCAATAGATTTAAGGATATGGAACAACTGATCAATAACCAAATATATTTGAATAATTCCTGTTTGTTAAATAAATTTGTTTTGTAATAATGAAAGTGGTAGTTAGGGTAGATTTTGTTAATGATAATATGAGGGTCTAATTTAATCAGCATATAGCATTGATATAGATAAGAAATGTAATAGGTCCAATTACTGAACCCTGTGGTTCAATACCACTAACTGTTAAAATCCTCATGTTTTTGAAAAGGTCACGACAACTATGGTTAAACGAGACTCTAGCAATACATCTAACAATGCGCTTTTGTGCAAATGAAGGTAGAAATTCAATAGTTTTTTTTCTCTTTAAGAATACATTCTCAGACTAGATTGAATAAAAAATTGACTAAACAAATTGTATAGGTTAGGTTAGGTCCAAAGTGAGTGGGTCTATTCGACCTTCCACCGCAACCCGTAAAGGTTTATTGTGGCTCACGCCTATTCACACTCGACCAAATAAACCCAGCTTCTTAACAAAGCCGATTAGTTTGTATGGTGAGTGGTCTTTCAGGTTAGATGGTGAGAGTACAGCTCTGCTGAACTCTAAACATCTGATAAGTCTCCAGCGGGGCAGATACAAAGTATGTGCACTGCTGTTCTATCATTTTCCAAACAGAGGTGACAAACGCTATCTTCTGACAATCTGAGTCTCTGCATATGACGATTCAGATGATAGTGACCTGTGAGAAGGCCTGTTAGACATTGTAGTTCATCCCTACTGTAGTCCAACAACTGTTTGGTATCAAGCTTCGAAGGGTGAATAAACGCCTTGGAGTGAGCCAATCCTGGAATATTCTGTCAGAAGCCCATAAATCTTCTTGCCATCCAGGTGTTCAATCTTTGTTTGGCAAAGCCTAAAGCGATGCCAATGACAGGTTCTGGTCCGATGAAGCTGCTTGCAGCACTCCCCTTTGCAAAGGAGTCAGCAGCCTTATTGCCTTCTAGGCCAGTATGGCCAGGAATCCAGATCAGAGACAATCTGTCCATCTGTAAACCCACAACTATCTGCTCTTAATATTTCCTTCACCAGGAGGGTCCAGTCCTCTCTACTCGGGAACAGTACTTTATAATGCAGTTCGTAGCTGACAATTGGAGGCATAGAGTCACAGGTCATTTCCAGAATGGAGTGTCAACCAACAGTCTGTTGCACTCTGCATTAAATTGATTTGTGCAATTGGCAATGTGCACAAGTCTATATGCAGTCCATCTAGCCTCTCTCTCTCCAGAAAAATGTGGAGGGGAGGTAGATCTAGAAGGATCTCTATGGCCGCTGACGGTGTGATACTGATGGCACCACTGATGGCCAGACAAGCCTGTCTCTGTAAGCCAGAGAGCTTCGCATGGGCCGTTTTCTGTAAAGCCTTCGGCCACCAGATCTACTTTTGAAGGCATCAAGAAGACTATCCATCAGGAGCGACCACAGAAGGGAGATAATACCCCACCTTGAGAGTAGCCTCTGGTGACCCTGAACTTATTGGCCTTGCCTTGAAGTTGCAGTTCTGTTTACCAGCATGGCATAGATCCAGCCAGTTATGGCTGGATCTATGCCATGCCTTTCCTAGCCAGGGATCAGTGCTGCGGCATGGTCAATTCAAAAAGTACCGAAATTTACAAGAAAATAGTACCCAAAATGTACTGCGCAAGACTAGGCATGGCACATGCGCATAAGTCATTTCAGACCAAATGCCAGTAACGCCAAACGTGTAATAATGTTATCCATTTAAATTCGGAAAATATATGGAGTAAAAAATTTGCTGGAAATTAAGAAATGTTCCTTAAGAGAAAGATCATAATCAGAACATTTGATAAAAAGATGTCTATTTCCTTCTTCAAATTGCTCTTTCACGATTGCAAATGTGTTTTGTTTTAATTAGGTTTCTGTCACAATAGAATGAACAATACTAAAGACGTTTTCAAGTAGCTATATTCGAGAATTTATTTTTACCTGTCCATATTCCTATTTATTTTGACAAAACAATAAAACCAATTTCTCAAGGTGAGGTGTGAGGTTAGAAGTTGAAACTGCTGTTCTGCTGACTGACTGACAGATGACAGAACCACAGTTCACAAGCACAATACAGAACACAGGATTAAATAATTATAGAAATAATGGGATCAGCTAAAAAACAGCCTGTATAGGATGAGGATTTTTTTTATTATTCAGAGATGCTTTAAATCTGGTTTCAAAGATATTATAGACTGTTGGATGAAATCCAAAGATTCATGAAAATCCAATATTTCAGAAAATCGTTACATTTGAATATCAACAACTGGTATTTTGAAAACAGAACATTTTCAGAAAAAAACGTTACTCTCAAAATATTGATGAAATCACAATACGACTTATTTTGGAAAACATTTCCGGAAGGATAATTGAAATATGCATTAGAATATTCTAATATTCAACAAATCAGCATATATTTTGTTATCTTAACCAAGATTATTACCATCTGGACTGATATTACCTTTCAAGATTTTTTATTCGTTGACGCTGCGGCATCGATGCATGTAAAGGCAACGGGTGACAGTCCAGTAAATTGAGTAATGTTGCTAGCCTCTTCACACATCCAATGGAATTACAGAATATCAGAGTCCTTCCTGGATGTTTTTTTACTTACGTTATTGATATGCTTCAGGAAAGTGTCTAGTTCTGCATTCCCATGGTACCATATTATGAAGGTATCGTCTACGTATCTCAACCAGACTCAGAGCTTCTTGTGGGCTTCTTCAGGGCTTCTTCAACGGCCAGAGTTTCAAACCACTCCGTATATATATTAGCTATAACCGATGAAAGTGGCGAACCCATTGGCAGTCCCTTATCTTGCGTAAAGAATTCGTCCTTCAGTTGAAAGTAGCAGTTTCGTACACAGCATCCTAGTAATTCCATGATTACTTGCATCGGTAAGTTTGTTCTATCTATCTATCTATCTATTTGAAGTGCTTCTTCGACAGGAACGTTGGTATAGAGGCTTTCCACGACGAAACTGATCAGTTGATCCTGCTCTTTGACTTTGATTTCCCCTAGTAGTTCAACGAAATGCCTTGAATTTTTCAAACGATGATGTTTTACCTTGCAGAGTTGGATGGACCCTCCACAAAAAGTTTCTCTGCCCTACTCATTGAGCTTATGTATAAAATAAATGGCGATATCTCCTTAGTCATTAGAGATAAATCCATCAAACCTGGTATCGTTGGATTCCTAATGATCTTCCCTAACCGTTCTTGTGATGATATATAGGATGTCCCATTTGAAAATCAAAAGTTGTTGTCATTTCCGGAAAAGCCGGAAGTTGAATTTGTTTTACAAATATTTCAAAAAGTGCCGTCTAGTGAGCATATTCAATGTTCCAAGTTTCAGAAATATTGCTAGAGAAATGAAGGAGAAAAAGTGGGTGTACCATAAGTATCATGTTGTTTATCTATTTCTATTTTTTACTTATATTTTAATATATATGTATGTGTTTGTTTTACAATGTGCATCACGTTATTTTTTTACTCAAATGACATCTTATAATATTACACATTTTTATTATACCTCAGAAATATGACCTGTCCCATCTACATAATGTAGCACAAAGGACTAATAAATCTATCTATATATCTATTGAATTATACAAAAAACACTTTTTCCTGTTCAGTTTGTACTCCATAACATTATGGAATTGAATCAGATATCATTCACAGGATTGCTACACAATATAGTATATAAAAGAGGTAAAATTTCACTTACATGAAACACTGTCATTCTCAATGGCAGATATTCGCTGTTTCGAATATGTTTTATTCAGAATGAAACACATCCACATTGTGTTTTTTGTATAATTCAAATAGATGGAGAAGTAGAAAGCTAAAACCTTTCTTTCCCAAATAATTTCAGAGTAATACAAGGGTTGTAACGAAACATTATATATAGTTTATTTGTGGAGAAACTACCTAAAGTAAACAATCAATCTTAATAATTGCAAAGCAGAACCCTAAAGTAACAATTTTCGAATAGTTCAGGATTATCCACCAAGATGAAAATATTATTGTTTTTGTTTGATATTGAACATTTTTATCTTACCTGAATATTTTCCAACGGCCATTAAATGAGACCTAACTTGCATAGCAAGCTCTCTAGTCGGTGTTAAAATAAGAGCATAGAGTGGCTTTGGATTTGAATACTCTTTCAGTGTCACATTGTTAATTACTTTGACACAACCAGTTACTGAAATTAATTATTTAAATGAAATATTTGAATACTGAAAAATAAATGTATTACCATCATTGCCAGGCTCTTTCTCAAAATCAGATTCTTCAGAGTCAGATAGGTTTTTTGATATATCTGAAAGGTCCTTCTGTTTCAAATTTAGAATGCCTGTTAATATTGGCAAACCAAATGCCAGAGTTTTACCGCTTCCAGTCTCTGCAGCACCCAATATATTTTTTCTTCCTAAAATAGGCATTCACACTATTGTTAGCATAAGCAAGTATATGTTGAATTAAAATGAAAATTTGCAGATGTTTTCATTTGTAACCTAATATATGTGTATCATTGACGAATTATTTGAGGATTTCTAATTTGAACTCATTATTTTCAACTACCCGAATAAGATATTTTATATTTATACAAGATAATCTAAAGTCCGGGTTGAAATACATCTGGTGTTTTTAGTTATTCGACATTTAGCATTCGACATTGAAACCATTTTCAGAAATCTTCGTATACTCTGGGGTCTCAATCTGCCTACTTCCCTGCACCAACTGTGGGTTAGGTTAGGTTAAAAGTGAGAGGGTCTATTCGACCCTACACCGCAACCCACAAAAGTTTATTGTGGCTCTCACTTACTTACTTTTCTTCTGTCGCATCAAGCAGACTATCTGTCAGGAGCAACCACAGAAGGGGAGATAGTACCCCATCTTGAGGGCAGCCTCTGGTAACCCTGAACTTATTGGCCTCGCCTTGAGAAGTTGCAGTTCTGGCATAGATCCAACCAGTTATGACCGATTCTGTGCCTTTCCTAGCCAGGGATGATTTTATAGATTTAAGTAAAGCATTGTCAAATGCTTCTGCAATATCGAGAAATACGGCAACCGCAATCTCCTTGTTGTCAAGGGATTGGTAAATTTTCTCTACAAGTTTGTTTAACACTAAATCTGTCTATTTGTCGGTTTGATATACATACTGGTGGTTATTCAGGGGGGCAGCATTTAATGCCACCCTCTTGATATGTCCGTCCAGTATCCTCTCAAATCCTTTCAACAGGAAGGATGTAAGGCTGATTGGTCGTACCGATTTATAGTGTGGGTCTTTCCAACCCACTTTAGGTATATATACCACTCTTGCTGCCAACCAACTGGGTGGTATATACTTCCACGCCAGACTAGCTGACGGTGGGTCCACAAGCTCTGGTATCTATGTCCTGGACGAGTGAATGGGCGTACATGTAGTGGGAGCGAGAGTAGAGTTGGTAGTGGAAACAGTGCTGTGATTTGCAGAAGTGAGGGTGCAATGTTGTGCGATGTATGGCGTGACAGTAATGATCTCCATGAATGGGGTAATCTTTGTGAATCATCTCGTTTGTTGAGACAATAAGGACATTGTTTAATTTCAATAGCATCTCGGACTATCATTGCCTGGAGAGTTTTTTGGTGGCAATGGTTGGGAGATGAGGCTGGGTCTAATTTACAGACAGCAAGCTCATGTTCTTAGGCTCTGTTGGAAACTCTTCTGTTGGTCTGGCCGATGTAAGTTCTGGAGCAGATGGAACATGGCATTTCTTATATGCCCGGTTTCCTTCACTTAGGACACGATACCCAACGAGGCACTGCACATATTCTCAATTTCTATTGCCTATCTATATATTCTTCTGCAATAACTTTGGGTTTAGAGCATTTGTGTATCTTCGGCTACAGCTGTTTGCCGAGGAAACATTTTTTTTTCAGAGACGGGTAACTACACTCCTTTTAGTTGTTTCATAGGGGAGGAGAGCTTTTCCCTCAACTGGCCACGCTGAGGTTACTTTGGCGTTCTCTCTCCTGGGTCATGTAGTAGAATTTGAGAGGGCGAGAAAATGTCAAAGTAGCCCCAGCTAGGCCCATTAAGAAAAAGTTTTCTTTCCCTATGTTTGAAATGTAACAGACAGGAATGGAAGAATTTTGAAGAAATAAGACATGAAACCAATATTTAGACTAAACAAATTATCAGAGAATCTACGGTCAGCTGAAAACCCCAGAAAGCCTACAGCAACACCCTCAGTATATCTCTTGTAGCTGCGAGTTGGTCTACATTGGAACCACGTAAAGAAGTATATGCACACATTCTCTCAAAAAGCACTGGCATCATCTCATTTGAAAATACACAAATACTTGATAAACTCAAAATTATCATTCAAGAATATATAAGACAATGATAGAAATGCAGAAACACGGGGATAATTTCAATTGAAATGGGCCTTCAAGTATTACTTACGTAAGCATATTTATTACAATTATTTACCCCTTCATCCCCCTTGTCAGCAAAAGTAAGCAAAGCTCCAACGCTCCCTTCCATGCTAACGTAAACATTGTTATATCCATTTTTCAAACATAGACAATGTGTGGGTTGCCATATGTATAAAAAAGTAAATAACTACTGCTGACGTAATCACCATCTAGACCTCCCGCCCCCATGTCAACAAAGGAAGAGGCATAAGTAAAATCCAACGATATGTCCACATGTACACAAACAAGGCCATTCAATCCAATTGAAAGGAAGCCACACTCACCAATGATAATATAAAACTGGGGACAAATTCCAACATTGGAGTTTCCAGGTTGAGAACAACTTGAGCATTTCAACCGTTACCTCATTGCCTTTGATAATATCTGCCGCAGTATTAGTCGAAATGTCAGGCATAAAAACTTGCAGACCATGACCAAAAAACTCGAAAAGTACCTTTCGCACAGTTACCTAAGAATGGTGAGTTTTATAACAGGAACTACAAAAGTGGACTGTGCATATGTGATATGTTGAATTCTTAGCCACCACGTGTTGCCCATCTTTGAACTTGACTGCACCTTGCTAATGAGACAAATAGCCAGGAATACTTGTTTGCAGTTTGCCTTTTTTTGAATGTTATGTTCGCAAAATTTCCGCCTTTTGATTTAGATCAAACACACTTGTTAGTATCTTAGAAATTTGACATGGAATAACCCAATTTATGGTGTATTGAAAGTTAATAAATAATTCAACTCCAAAATAAGTCATAATTAATTACTCACCTAAAATAGCAGACGGCAAACTTAGAGTCTGAATGTATGTAGGTTGAGAAAATCTAGCTTCTTCTAAGCCCTTCAAAATTGATTGTGGAAGACCAAAACTAGTCCAAGCTTCTAAATTCATAAAAGTATTTTCAACTTCAGTATCGTCTAGTTCAACATTTAGTGAATTGCCAGATTTTGAGGGCGTCAAAGACTCATCAACTTCATCTGTACAGTTGTTGGGAGGTCTTGGCCCTTTTTTTTTCTTGGAGGACGATGTATTTTCATTTCGCAAACGTTTGCGTTTAGCTATCTACGATTATAAATTGTTAATTCACAGTTTCTGTAATTTAAAATAACCTACCTTTTTTGAAGAAATTACATCAAGATCATAATCTGTACACTCCTCAATTCCTACCAGACCTTCTAATTGTCCCGAGAGTAAGTTGCGATCTATTTCCACTGGCCTCCACTTACTTGCGTTATTTAACATTTTCTAAAATTTCAAATATATTTAAAAAAGTAAAACCTGAAAGTTAACCAACGAAATAAGGTTAGACCAGTTTAGACTTTCTTCTTCTCATTATTTCTAAGCCTCATCTTTCATAACTATCCGACCACTTATTCGTGACATTATTATTTTGGATGAAATATTTAATTGAACTAAGTTTTTTTGCAACGATTCCGAAATGGCAATTCCCATCGTTTTTAACGATGTATTTGTCGAAATTCCTGATAGAATTGTCAATACCCTCAATATTATTTTTGGTAGCACCTTGTTTTCTTCTTAAGGATAGAACACAAGCACTACAGGAAAACCCTCAGAGCGATCTAAGAGCGGTGCCTGTGCTGCGAAAGTAGCGATTCACGTTGGATTTGAATCGTTGGAGATTACATTCATATGGAAAACGTTTTCAGGAAGTTTATTTCACATACACCCAGTTTTCCAAATGAAATAGTTCTTAATCAGTGAAGCTCGAGGTGTACTGTGTTGAACCTCAAAACGATGAGGTGAAAGTATCTATAAGAGAGAGACAAATCTTCAACCTTTTTTGGATGTTCCAGACTATCAAGGTTGCAAGTGTGAGTCTTGAATCAGGCGGATGGCTCTTTCCTGGATGGAATCCAGCAGCTTAAGGGTATGCTTAGGGGCGGAACTCCATACATGACAACAATACTCCAAAGAAAGTCGGATATGAGATTTATAAAGCATCAAAAGTTGCTGAGGTGTGCACAGTTTTCTAGTTCAGAAGTTCGGAACAGTGTTCCAAGCTATTGAGAAGCAGCCTTTGCAAATTCAGCGACCTGTAGTTTTTTAGGCAATAAAGTATAAAAGTTGAAGTTTTTTATCCAATCTTTGATTTCTTGATATCTCCAAAGTTCTGTAGGTAGATATTATTTTCAACTTTTATATGAAAAAGTATTAATGTCAAATCAACCTAAAAACATAAGACGTAATATTGTATTCATGGAGGCTGCAGCCTCCAGTGAATGACCCAGTGGCTTATACAGGAAGATGCCACTTCGTGAAATGTCACCAGAGATAGTAATATATCAGACCCGCATTACAGAAAATTTTAATTCAAAATACATTTTTCCAAGTCATTATCACATAAATAATTCTTTTTCGAAAAATTATTTTGGGCTCCAACAAAATAATCACATAATCACTTGCATTTTCATTAACTTTCTTACGTAAATATAGGATGATGAATGAAAAAATCATAAGGAATATATTTAATGCCATTTATCATTGTTTATATCATTTTTAATCAAGAACTACAGTATAACATGTAAAACTTTAACAATTGTGTCACTATTTCTATCCAAACTTTCAGTCAAAGAAGTTTTTGTACATAACATCTAATAACAACAATAAAAAATATTTAATGATGACAGGCATTAACAAAAAAATACAACCGACAGTAATATCACAAATGGAAATAAAAACTGACAACTTCACCAACTACCAAATATACATATATATCCTTAATGTTAGCTAAATATTATATTTTCGTTATAAGGTTTTTGTGAATATTTATATGAAATGGTTAGGAAAAGTAGTAAAAGCTTTATATGTTAAGTATGTCTTTGCTAAATAGATATACAAAGATGTTATATGAGGATTGGTCCAACTAGGGGAAGCAAAATAATCATCAAATATTGGTCTTTGTTTAACTTAGAACAAAGGGTGCAGGATAAAGTTAGTACAAGACAATACAGTGTTTTTGCGAAGCATGAAAACCAAATGAAAAAAAGTCATCATTTATTTTTACAGCTTCTAGAACTCATTAAAAGAAGTTGATATACTAAAAATCACCCAAAAGAAAATTTGCACAATGAAACAGTTATAGAAACACTATTATTTCTGCATACTTAAGGTGTGCTGTGGCTGTATCATAAACGAGGAACTATTTTTCACGCAAAATAATCAGTAAAATAGAAGTAATATACACTTCAAGGGACTGATGATATAAGTGTCCTCACCAAAAATTGTTATTATGCAACTTTTATATAGGTGTTTTTTGGTACATACATCAACCTATTTTGACTCAACTTTGAATACAGATCTGACCAAAATCACATGCCCGGTTAGCTTCTGTTGATGACTCCGTGATTTTTTTTGTCTTTTGTCCCCCCTGTTCTGAAAGATTACCAAATAAATATGGTTGTGTAAAATATACTTTTGATTTCACGAATCCCTACAAAAAATCGAAGGGTGTCATATCAAGTCATCTAGCGAGACATTCAAAGGGACCACGTTAGTTGATCTGCCAGTTTGAATAATTGTCATCAAGTCATTTTCGAACTGGCCTGTCATATTAAAGATGAACCTCATCTTGCTGAAAACTCATTTGGATTTCTCAATTATTTAAATCGCTAGATAGACAGACGTGATCCCTTAGAAGGGTTCACTAGATCACCTGATATGAAGCATCTAGATATTTTTGAGGGAACACGTTACAACCAGTTAATTTCAGAACCCGTGGTTAGAAAAATAGACACAGTAGAATTCATATATAACGACTTCGCTTTTAACGACTAACCGTTTTTAGCGACGATGTTTACTCAACTTGAGTTTAATACTTAGGTATTGAGAAAATATAACCGTTTAGTGCGACTCCGGTTTAAACGACCACTTTTTATGATAATACGTCCCTTTAAAACGTCGCGCAATATTTTGTTTACACAACCTACGCACCAATATAGTTGAAGAAAAAAGTACAATATTATACCGATTAGAAGCCGGTGAATCAAATGTAGCCTTAGCAAAGAAGTTTGGCGTATTTTATTCTACAATACCCACAATTAAGAAGAATAAATATCGAGCCGCTGTTTTGAAATGCAAACTTTAATGGACCTCTGCTACAAGAGAATACAAACTATTGTTAGTCGACAACTGTCCAGCACATCCCCATATTGCAGACTTGAAAAGCATAACCCTGGTGTTTTCGCCTCCAAATACGACATCAGTGTTACAACCCATGGATCAAGGGATTATTCGAGCTTTAAAAGCACATTTTTGAAAAAACATGGACCTGAAAATAATCCAGTTTCTAGACGGCTGCGAAAGCAAGTGTTGAGTACCCAAAGATCACTGCTCTTGATGCTATTCTAATGATTCAAGATGCCTGAAACCAACTCAATCAAGGGACAATTTGTAACTGTTACAAACACGCTAGTTTTGTGCGAAGCAATATAGAATGTAGCATAACTTCAAACGTACATGATTTTAACGAAGAAAACGACGCACCGCTGAGCATTTGGACGAGTGCTATTGATAAACATCAATTACCCTTAACATTTCTGGAGAGAGAGGCTAGATGGACTGAATAAAGACTTGTGCACATTGCCAACTGCACAAATAAATTTAATGCAGAGTGCAACAGACTGTTGGTTTAAACTTGAAGTCACAGCATTCTGGAAATGATCTCAGATTTTATGCCTTCAACTGTCAACTACGAACTGCCTTATGAAGTATTGTTCCCGAGTAGAGAGGACTGGATCCTCCGGGAGAAGGAAATATTAAGAGTAGATAGTTGTTGGTTCACAGATTGATCAAAAACACCTTCCAGTTCTGGTGCAGGTATTTTCAGTTGCAGACTAAAGACAGACAGGACAATTCAATAAAAATATTATCGGACAGTCAAGCGGCGTTGGGAGCTCTTGGCTCTTGCCGAGCAACGTCTAACCTAGTAGCATATTGCCAAAAATGACTCTCCTCGATAGGAAGACTCAACAGATTGTCTCTGGTTTGGATACCCGGCCATACTGGTCTGGAAGGCAATGAGACTGCTGACCTCTTCACAAAAGAGGGTGCTACAAGCAGCTTCATCGGACCAGAACATGTCATTGACATCGCTTTAGGCTTTGCCAAACAAACATTGAACACCTGGATGGCAAGATTTATGAACTTCTGGCAGAATCTTCCAGGATTGACTCACTCCAAGGCGTTTATTCACCCTTCGAAACTTGATACCAAACAGTTGTTGGACTACAGTAGGGATGAACTACGATGTCTAACACGCCTTCTTACAGGTCACTGTCATTTGAATCATCATATGCAGAGACTCGGACTGTCGGAAGATAGTGTTTGTCACTTCTGTTTGGAAAATCATTAAACAACAAAGCACACACATACTTTGTGCCTGCCCCGCTGGGGACCGAATCGGGTTTTAAAGTTCGGCAGAGCCGTGCTCTTACCATCTGACCTGAAAGACCACTCACCATACAAACTAATTAGCTTCGCTGAGAAGCTGGGTTTATTTTGTCGAGTGTGAATAGGTGTGAGCCGCAATAAACCCTTGTGGGTTGCGGTGGAAGGTCGAATAGACCCACTCACTTTAGACCTAACCTAACCTACCCTTAACAATCGAGGACATAATACGAGTGTGTCGATGATGTCAATCCGAGCAGATAAATAAAAGACTAATGAACTAACGTACTCTTTACTACTAATAAAGTCGTGTAGGTTTATGAAAAAAAAAAAATTGAAAAAAATTAAACTACGCCGCCCATGCCATACAAAGAAACCGCCTAATTAGTTTTTATGCCATTCGAATTAACTTCGTATATACTATACTTAAGAAATAATCTTACCGTTTTGTGCGTAGTCAAGTTAGTACGACATAGTATATCCAGACTCTTGATGGTCGTTATATTCGGATTCTACTGTATTTGTAATGAAACATTTCATAATATGATGAATAAAATTGTGGACAGGCCTCATTATTGACAAGAAGTGAAGGTTAACATTTTCAACAATTGAATTAAAAGGGGTATATTTTTAGGAGAGATTGATTTTTGAGAAAAATTTTGGCTTTCTACATCTCCATCTTAATACGAAAAAGTGTTGGAATCTTGCAGAAAAAATTTCACAATAAAATGTTACTTGAATTCGTAATGGATTTTCATCAAGTATTGGCCAATTCCATGACATATTTTTTTGGGTAATTTTCTCTCGTCAGATTATATGATATACAAATGAAGGCTAGAAAGTATAACACACAACGATAATTATTTTGCCAAAAAGCTAAAAAATGAATATTATACATACATATTACTTTACCGCATACTTTTTACAGAAAGGAACTATTAGGTGTGAAATATTTGACCTGAAGTATTTTGTTCCAACTTCGAAAAGTTGGGTAATTGAATACTCAAGGGTTTCTATATCTAACACAATATTTACATTTAATAGTCTAAAGGATATACAATAGTATCACTCTTAATAATATACACATTCTTCATTTTTAATCTCAAACATGATTCCTGGAAGGTATGAAGTGATTACAGCTTAGAATATGGATATGATTATATATTGAAGTAATTGTCTCTATTCACAATGAATGGCAGATGAGTCATTTAATTAGAAATACATATTTACCATTTGAAATTGAATTGAATACAATTTTTCTCATTCTTATAAGAATAAACGTTTTGCAAGGTATTTATTGGCAATTGCACATAAAACACAGTGGATACCCATTTTTCACAATTAATTAATTATTGAAATATAATTTTACTAGTTCATTAATATTTTAGCTATTCATTATATTTTTTTTGTTCTTTCATAGATTTTGAATCATAGTAGAATCATATTAGACAATGAAAGTCTGAACTAACAAAATTCGCCATGAAACATTGTCAACCGCTTTAAACAAACATATTCCTATAAATCGTTAAACCAACCAAGTCACACATAACAAATTAATGCAATTTGGAAACTTCAAACTTTTCTTTAACCATACATACCTTTCCCTGCTGTGATATCAATGACCTTCGGATCGGATATTCCGAGAATATCAACAATTTTTTGCAATTTTTGTGCTGCAGTCATTTCCCCTATTCTTTTGGACCTGCTCAGTTTGCTTTTAGTTTTCAAATGTTTTGGCATTTCATGAACCAGTGTCAATGTAGCAGAAAAAACGAAATATTGTCTGATTTTTCTTTTCGACTCATCTAAGTTTATCCTTTCTAAAATATCATGAAGTTCTTGAAAGTGGCCTTTCTCTAACATCCTGTCTGTTTCATCGATGGCTAAAAATCTACAATGAAAATTAAAATGTTTGCACAATGTCCAAAACAGTGGATAAGATTCTGATTATTTTACCTAATGTTATCTATTTGAGATAAATGAGGATTTCCTTGCTGGATCAACTCCCATAATCTTCCTGGCGTTGCAACGACAATCTCTGGGCCTTTACTCAATATCCGTTCCTGCTTCACAGCTGCCATACCCCCCACAACTAGTGCAACATTGATTCCTTTAAAAAAACGAGATTGAACTGGAATGCCTCGTTACCAACAATTAAATCCAAGTTTAATTCAATGAAATTTATTTTTATGAATCTGACAACAGTTTTCAAATACAATTCAACTACTAAGTATCTAATATGCTTACGTTGGTTCAAAACTGAGGAATGATGTCTGTTTCTAGGTTAGATCATCCATGAAAACTAATTCAGTGGGTAGTGCGACTAAACCGATCTTGTAATTACTCAGCGTAGAACGAAACCGCGTCTGTTGTTTTTAGTGGTTTGACGTTTCGGCTTCGACTTTGAAGCCATTTTCAAGAAGGTATGACTACACTGAGGTCTCAATCTGCCTGCTCCTCGAGTAGTGATACGCTGTAAGGATTTTGTGACTTGACCCCGAGGTCTCAATCTGCCTACTTTCCAGGTACTGTACAGTCAAGTGTAAAGGATAGGCAACACTTCATTACGAGAAAGGGTCAAATACAAACGGATTCAACATCAGGAGCCGAAACTGTGGATTCGTGGCATCGTCGCGGAAGAACTTGTGGTTACAGAGACAACTAAGTATTGCCTATCCTATACACTGTACCGTACCGACGAAGGCTAATTAGCCAGAAACACGTGTCTGCGGTTTGCCCACCTATGATCCAATATATCTCATAAGCTAATAAGATCCGCAAAATGGTTCAAAATCCAAGATCGTCGAAAACTTCGTATTATTATTTTAACCCTTTCAATAATCAATAAACAGTTTCTAGCACATATGCAAGTATTGAATTCGATGATGTTATTATTGATAATGATAATATCAAAATGTCAAATAGTCTTAATGAATACTATGTCAAAAGTATTAACGATATCACTGATTCAATTAAAATACCTCAAGACGAAATTCCTCTTATAGTTAGTCCTGTTTCACATAAATTGAGATATTTCAAGATGATTACCATTGTGAATCTCAAGGAAATAATATTTTCAATGACAAATAAAAATAGTACAGATGAAATATCTACAAAATTGTTGAAAGAATGCTTCTCAACCATCTCTAAACCACTTTTGAATATGATAAATTATTCTTTCGAAACTCATAAAGTGCCTGATGAAATGAAAATTGCAACAATTATCCCAANTGCAATAATCAATAAACAGTGTCTCCCATATTTTTACAATAAAATAAAATATAGGACAGATATTCATAACCTTAATTTACGTCATAGGGGTCATATCTCGCTTCCACCTGACAAAACTCTCTGTTTCGAAGAAGCTTAACCTACAATGTCTTCAAGCTTTATAGTGAGATCGACTCATCACTATATTCATTTGGAAGCAAAATGAGAGACAGTCTCTTGGCCGAGAATGAATAATTCAATATTTCAATTCATATACCACAACACATTAGAATACATATTTATTGAGATATGGAGCTACAAAAACACATGTCATTTGAACGGACAAAACTTTTGAAACAATTTAATACTTGCATAGCAGAGCGATCTTTTTAAACTCTAAAAGATTGAAGAAATACTGCAGAAGATAGATTGACTTTAATGGCTGTTCATTGACACGTTGATGCAGCTTTGCAAGAAGGAATTAGCCAGTTTGCATCTGAAAGAGCTGGAAAATTGAACTTTTTCATTTAATACATTTTTATTGATAGGATGTGTATGTTAAGTTGATTGGTGTTTGTTGATTGACAAATTTTAAAGAAGTTGTCATTGGTTCCTTTGAAATTTTATTGGATAAATAAATGGTGCACCATCAATCTTATCTCGTTCTTTCAAAATATATCAAACGAGCCATATTGAATAAATCGTGAAACATAATTTTTGCTGGAGCAACTTTCATGATCATGGCAGTTTATCTCAAACTGGAACAAATATTTCTGTAGCAGCCTTAAATACCCTGCATCAATAAAAGTTACATTGGCCTGCATCATATTCATACCCACCCCCAAATTAATTTTCTACTGGTGCAGGTAGCTTTAATTAAGGCCAGTCTTGTAGCTTTTTATCAGAATAAATCCGTTGATCGGGTCCTGTACCAATGATTATGACACCTTGTATTTAAACAACCACCCTGTTTGTAGATACATTGCCAGCTTTTCATGCCAGTATCGAATTCTATACCAGGGTTCCATTAATAATTGTCACATTCTAAACAGGGTTGTAATAAATTAGCAAATAGAGGATAAATTTTGGTTAAATCATTCAAGCAACGGCAAAACTACTCACCAATAGGTTTTCTGATACCACTAGCCTCTGGCTGGTCTGAAGGTTCTGGAATGTAACAATCATTCAACAGGCAGCATTCCACATACAATCTACCACAGTATATAATAATTATATGCAAATGTAATGTCAACAAAATAAAATGTAAACAAAACTTACCTAAAAATAAAAACACTCAACATAAAACTGTATGACAAAGAACAAAATGAAAAACTGAAAAAATATTTACACTTCCATGATGGGGTATTTCATTTCGAAATCCCACTTATATACAGAATTGAATGATTATACATCACACACAGAAATTTGTGAAATCTGAATCATTCCGGTCTGGTATTTATCTTTTCTTAAAAATACTAGAATAGGAATATTTACTATTTTTGGAAAAGTATTCAAACCCATGCATGCGTACCTAATATTTTTTTTTTGAAAGTTATACTTTATAGATTGTATATTTTGAAATTCAATTCAAATTTCCCTCCAAAATACCAATACTAGTCACACAACCATCGTGACGTCACATGTTCCTAAACACTGGTAAACTGATACTCCAGTAAGAACTTTTTTGGAATTTCCCCAACGGAAGATGAGTTCTAAGTTTTATGTATCTTGTGGTGGTTAAATTGAAACATTTGAAAGTTCTTCATTAACGTTTTACTTACAGAAAATGTAAGGAAAACGTTTCATTCTGCTCTCAGGAATTTTGAGCTTGGGTCTTCATGACGTAAAATGTATTTATGTGAAGATAATTTTGATGTAAGTTATTTGTTTATATTTAACGTCATCATTTTTCAAGTTAATATAATGTTTATTATACCAGTAATTTATCGAAGGATAGTTGGAAATTTAACAATGGGAGAAAAAAAATACTCCACCAAAACTATCTCCCCCGCTACAACAAATCTTTTATGAAAGTGCCGATTAGTGAACCTGATCTTGATGATATTGTACTAACACTCATTTTACCAACCTCCTTATTTTTATACATAACAACACCATTGTGAACCATTGAAAATTAATAACACTATCCATGATAATAATTGCATAATTTTCACACAATAAATATATTCAAGATGCGTTTCACTACACGTTAGTAGTGAAACGCGTCTTCATCAGAACACTACACGGTACTTTCATCATTACAACTGATCCAATTCAGTCCAACGAAACTATAGTGTAGTAAAACGCGTTTTAATCAGTCCACTACATGGTAGTTTCATCAGTCAAACTGATCAAATCTAGCCCAATGAAACTACCGTGTGGTGAAACGCGTCTTCATCAGTCCACTACATGGTAGTTTCATCAGTCCAACTGATCAAATCCAGTCCAATGAAACTACCATGTAGTGAAACGAGCCTTCATCAGTCCATTACACGGTAGTTTAATCAGTCCACATGATCCCATCCAGTAAAATAAAACTACCGTGTAGTGAAACGTGTCTTCATCAGTCCACTACACATTAGTTTCATCAGTCCCAATCCAATTCAATGAAACTACCGTGTGTTTCATCACACTTCGTCAGTCCAACTGATGAATATACCGTGTAGTGAAACACATTTTGAATAAATTTATAATGTGAAAATTGTACGAGGTCTGTTCGAAAAATAAAGTGAATTCTGATTTTTCTCAAAAAATATTTATTTATTCATCAATTTCCATTCTGCCCCCTTCAAAGTAGTGCCCCTTAGATATAATACACTTCTGCTATCGTTTTTTCCAATATTCGAAGGCCGCCGAAAAAGGCCGCCCTTCAGTGGGTCTCTTCAATCTTAGGAACCAGAAAAAGTCGCAAGGGGGCAAATCTGGTAAATAAAGTGGCTGTGGGATGATTACAGTATTGTTTTTGTCTGAAAAATTACGAATAAGCAATGACGAGTGAGCAAGTGCATTATCGTGATGCAAAACGCATGAATTTTTTCCCACAATACCGGTTGTTATTTTCGTATTGCTTTTTGCAAGCGGCGCATAACTTCAAGACAATACTCCTTATTGAACGTACGACCATGTGGCAAGAACTCCTGATGCACTACGCCACTGTAATCGAAGAAAACAGTGAGTGAAACCTCGAAATTTGATCGAACTTGGTGTGCTTTTTTGGTCTTGACTCTCCTTGTGCTTTTCCATTGAACGATTGGACTTTGGTTTCGATGTCATAACCATATACCTATCATTTGTGACCAGTTAGGATCCTTTATAGTCAATCTGAACTGAATTGCCGATGACATCATTCAATAGTTCCTGAGCGATGCTCATGCGACGGTTTTTTTGGTCAAAATTCAGCAATTTTGTAACGAACTTCGCTGCCACACGCTTCGTGTCCATAATTTCCGGAAAAATTGCATGGTATAAACCAATCGATATGCCGACATCCTCAGCAACTTCTCTAATAGTGACTCGACAATTTACATCTTCCCGACCATCTGCCAAAAGCTTGTACCACTTGTTAACNATAAGTTATGTTGGTTTATGAAGGATTGTAAATATCATTTATTCTTGAGATTTTTTTTAATTCAACAATTGCGACACAATATTCCATGTCATATTATAGTAAAAAACTAAAATATTCAAAGATTTAACAACAATATAAAATTCTGAAATAGAAACTGATTCAACAAAACAATTTAAAAAGAGTATTTCTCTGTTTTCTGTGATGTAAATCATGCTGTACTCAAAAGAGGGCATTCGGCATGCCAAAATCGACATTCTCAGTCAAAGATTCACTGTTTTTTTATACAAAACATACGAATAATCACCTGTATAAGTACAAAGAGTAAAAAAATATATAAAACAAATCAGGAAAATTATCTAAGTGAAATTTATACAAATATAACTAATGAAAAAAAACTATAAGAAACAAACACTAAAAGTAGCAGAGTTTATAGTTTTTTAGTAATACTAAACGGTTTAAAAGCCTTACATTGACACTAAATAGTTGAACTAATCAGTACCTGAATTCAATTCTCGTACCAAAGTGGACATGGCATTCGTAACTGAATCCGCAGCAACTAATAAATCATTTCTCAATGATCGTCCTACAGATCCAGGTGTACCATTACCATTGGATCCTGAAAAAAAAGTACATTATTGAAATTGAGAGAGGTATGCATTTATCCGCTGAAGAAATATCATAATCATAAGAAATAACTGAAAATTTGCCAAATTTCTATTTTTCCTGACCAATTCAGGTTCTCCAGGTTGCTGGGTACCCTGTTATACATCATAATTTACTCTTATTTTTACACAAAAGAATTAATACATTTTAACACATAAAGTAATTTTTGTGTTTTTAGGGAGGAATTTTCGATTTCCGTAAATCAGCTTGAGTGAAAGGCAAGCTTCTGGATTAATGTATTCACATGGGAATCAAATCGGAGATCACTATCTATAGTAACCCCAAGATTTTTTGCTTCCTTCTCAATTTCCAATACATAAGAACCTATACTAACATTGAGTTGTTGTTTTACAACATCTTTGTTATATTTTGGACCGAATATTAGTAATTTCGACTTAGATGTATTATTCATTAAGCACATATTTTCAGCAAGGGATGAAAATGTATCGAGATCATGACTGATCCGCCTATTAGCGTCATTTACTCTGTGTGGTTCAAAAGAATAATAGATTTGGGTGTCACCGGCATTACATTTATGTATGTAATGTATGTTGTAAGATTTCCTTTTTTAAAATTTTCCACTCACCTACATTAATATTAGAAGACCCACCGAAGGCGTTCCTCACGTCCCCCCCGACTCCCACGAGAGAGTCGCTGTTGTGCATGCCCCTCTCCCTTTCACCCCTCTCTTGCGGCATGCTATTCAACTGGTCTCTGTTGCCTGAGAGAACTAGTGGCGCCACCATTCCCTGTTGATGGGGAATGTGCTGCGATCGATCTCGTTCCCTCTCCCTCTCGGGCTGGTTCAACGGAGGAATCGAATTCACCATGGATGGATTGGTGGATGGAGGCAGACCCATCGGAGTTTGCGGGGCGCTGCGCGGGTTAGCCTGAGAAGTTGGAGTCGCGCCAGGTGGTAACGGAGGAGATTTCGTACTGCGCGGCGAAGAGTTCGGAGTACTTCTTGGAGATGACTGATGGTTCTATAATGGGAAGGCAATACTCGATGAATAATAATAATAATATTTATTAATTCAATGAAGTCACGTACAGAAATTGAGTACAATCTAAAATGGATTCAAAGGAATATAAAAATTATATAGAGGCAAAGTGGTAGTACCTGGTGTATAAAGTGCGTGTATAGATTTAAATAAACTATATAACAATAAATTGATTGATGTAGCCGATACTACGTGGTAAGATATCGTCATGAAAAATGAGAAATGAAACAGAAAGTTTTTTTTTTAATTACTTATATAACATTAAGACTAGAAAAAGATTAAAAAAAAAAAATTATTCAGTCTGTAGATCGGAGGTCCGTATGAGCATTCTTATGAGTTTTAATAATTTAAAGTTACAAATGGGTAGTGATTTCAGAGTAGGGGGTAGATGGTTGTACACTTTGATTCCCATAACTGTGGGACTCTGGCTCGTTATTTGGAGAGTATGGTTTGGAATAATTTCTTATATTATTTTCCTTGTGGAATATGGATGTGTACTATCTGGGCAGTTGGCTTGGTGTTTTCTAACATGTGCAAAGCAAGCTATTAGATAGATACATAGATATATTTTTATTTGATCAAGTTATGAATATACATTTGCGACAAGTCATAGACAGTTGTTAAAAATTAGTCCGCAAATAGAGAGGACAAATCAAAATCAGCATTAAATATGAATTTTGAAAATGATTTATAAACCACTTATATTATTTTCCTTGTGGAATATGGATGTGTACTATCTGGGCAGTTGGCTTGGTGTTTTCTAACATGTGCAAAGCAAGCTATTAGATAGATACATAGATATATTTTNCTGTAAAATAAATACTTTTTGTGCCTCACGTGATAGGCCCCAAGCTACTATACTATATGAGATTGTTGAGTGTAATTGGGCATGATAGTACATGAGTACCACCATATAGTACTAGTTTCGTATAAAGTACTCTTTGATTTTCCTTTTGAACAAAGTTTGTTAAATAATTCAACGTCCAGAGAATTTGACATTTCAAGTCTAAATTTTGGCTGTCTGAGTTGGCCCACATTTCTACATTCATAATTATGATGATCTGAATGTTTGGGGAGTAGTAGTTTTTTATGTATTTCTAACAGTGAGTAGAAAATCAACATACAGGGAAAAGACATTATTCCCAATTTTCTAAAAAGTGGTTGACAGTGTGCGTCAAATGGAGCTCCAGCTATGAGTCTGATGGCTTTTTTCAGCATGCGAAAAGCTCTTATCGTGTAAGCAGATCTACCCCAAAGGAGTATCCCATATGAAACTCTCTCGAATAATTTTAATACTGCGTTCCCTATTAGCAAAATTAAAACTAAAATTAAAAAGCCATGGATCACAAACAGCACTAAGGTCTCAGCAGAAAATCTACGATCCCTATATTTAATTCGGAAATATTTAAGTACCAATGAAGGCTTCAACTATATAATAGGTACAAAAACATTTATGGAACTATAAGGACTGCAAAACAACTTCATTATATGAAAAAAATGGAAAGGTTTGCAAACAAACAAAAAGAAAGCTGGGCAATCATCAATAACCTCAGGGGAAAAAAGAATATTGCTCCTACGAAAACTGACGTAAAATCTGTATTAACAAATATTACTGCACTGTGACACATAATTTATCCAAAGATATAAAATCCAATATTAATCCCTTGACTTTTCTTGAAGAAAAATCAGTTTCAGAGACGTTTTTCTTCATGCCTACAGATGTTATGTAAATTAGAAAAATTCATAAAGAAATATGCCCCGAAGTAGTACCAAAAACAGAAAACAACCCGCGAGCAAATTTATGCAAATTATCAAATTGNGCAAAGAGAGTAATTGTGGCCGTTATATCTATAAAAGCTAAGTCATTTATGTAGATAAGAAACAAAATTGGGCCAAGGATCGATCCTTGTGGTACACCACATTTGATAGTTTGAGCAGAGGAACACTCGGTTGTTTTAACTACCTGTTTGCGACCTGATAAGTACGAATGAAACCAGTGGAGAGTGTTGCCTCTGAAGCCATACTGTTGCAACTTATTAAGAAGGATCTCATGGTTGACACAGTCGAAAGCTTTCGATAGATCACAGAAAATAGCAGCGACTGCTTCTTTAGCGTTATATTCGGAGTATATCGTTTCTAACAGAGAGAACATAGCATCATTAGTACCCTTATTTGCTTGGAATCCAAATTGATGAGAAGTGAGGATGTCATTATCATTGCAAAAACATAAAATTCTGCTTTTCACTAGTTTTTCTATGAGTTTAGCAAGGGTAGGAATAAGTGCTATAGGAATAAGTACTATATAACACTAAATATTGTATTGGCTATATTTTATCAATTTTTATACAAATATCTTACTTGACTAGTCTGATAAGTTAGATATTCTGTAGTTTTCACCACCCAATGTGTATTATTTTGTGATGAATAAATGATTCTGATTAGATGTTCTGTAAGTATCTATTTATTTCAGAGTAATACACACAATCTAAACTGTGCAGATTTAATTTAAAAAATGGAAATGAAGGGTGATTATTTCATATTGATTTGTGGAGGAAGCATCTCTGTCAGCCACTCGAAGGAATTTTAGAAAAACCATGTGCTCAAGACCAAATATGCCACAAACAATACACACCTTCAACATTTTCATGAGTCCTTCAAGTTGCATCATAAGCTGCCGCCTCGAGTCCTGTAGTGTCGTCAAATGTGTTTCCAATTCATCTTTCCTCATTCGCAAAGCCCTCAGTTCATTCATCAATACTGGATTATCAGCACCATGACCACTAGATTCTAGCTCTTGTTGTCGCCTATTTTAACATTTCAGTACGATATTATAGAGTTGGTGTCAAAAATTATATTTTCAAAATAAATGTAATGACTACGGGTTATCAGCACTGTTTAAACAAAAGCATATGTTTATGTAAAAGTTTTACACCAAAGTAACTGAAAAGTTGAATAAAAATCAAACGAAACATTCTTACCGAAGCCTAGCAATTTCTCTCATGATTTCTCTATTTTTAGCTTCCAACTGACTGATCAGTTCCCTCTGGGCTCTTGTAGAATCCATACCTAGGCAAGCTTCAGATGGTACACGTCCCTAAAAATGATTCATCGATAAAAGAATTAGAATTCAATAATCAACTTCCAAATGTATTGTATTACAGAAGATGAACTTCTCCCTTTATTTCAATTGCTAGTTTGAATATATAAGTTATGTTGGTTTATGAAATAATAAAGGCGATATTATTATTATTATTATTATTATCATCAGTTCCTAACATCCACATTCGAAATTGGTACTCTCAGAACAATTTTTAAACTGTAAACAATATCTGTAACAATATCAAATCTTTTGAATAATATACTGGGTATTTACGGTTTTATAGTCATTAGTTCAACCCTTGTCTTCTAAATTGGTATTACAAAGGCGAGCTGTAAGATGTCTCTGTAAAGTCAACTCCAGAGATATACTGATGTCGTGTGTCATAAAATAAATTCATATACAATCTTACATAAATCAGTATTTTTGGAAGTATAATTTTGTTGTAGATTCAGGTTTTACTAAACATTTTTTGAATTGTTTCAAGATTTTGAAAATGTTATTTTATACAGTAAATATTTTCAATGAAATCATAATTGAATCTTGTTTATAAGTTCCTACCTACAAATGAAACATATATTTCTAACTATTGCTAAAAGCAAAGACATCCTTTACTTACCGTGTCCGGCGAAAGGGAGTTTTTTCTATAACCACTTCGAGGCTAAAAGAAGCAACAGCAAAAGCACATTTAGGAACATCATCCAACATAAAAAAGAGGTAAGAGTCAGAGAACATGCCATATCATCGTTTAATACAATAACTACAACTGGAAATATCACCTTACCATTCCAGTGCGAGCTTCCTGGGCCAGTTTAGCAGCGTATCTGGCTATCAGACGATGTTCGTCGTCACGAGCACTGTCCAAGCTGAAATTAGGTTTCTTATTGATTTTCTGCACCATTTAAATTCGTTTATCAATAGTTACCATTCTCAAAACTTGATTATTAGATGATATTAAGAACAAATATTTCAACTGAATGGGTAGGGTGAAAAAAATACTTCATAATTTACACAACACTAACATTTAATGCTAACAGATGTTTCCATGTATCTACATTCAAACACATGTTTAAAGAATGGTATTGATAGGTCGACGACATCCTTGTTTGCTGAGTTGGAATGATACGTCAGTTAAATAGTTTTATAATTTATCTGTACAGCCTTAATCCTAGTATAGAATTCACAATGTAAATGAAGGATGATCACAATTCACTGAACTTCCTAGATTTGAATATCTGCCCCTCAAACAACAAACACAATTTTTCAATATATCACAAATCCACCGTACAGATATAACAATTCATCTATGCATCCATACTCTCATAAACTTGCAGCATATCACTCCATGATACAGAGACTTATAAATATTCCGCATAAAAAATTACCAGAATTAAACATATTGCCGACAATAACGAATATATGAAGGTGACCTAGAAATGGCGGTAATTGTTTGAAAAATATCACTGTATTAGAAAGTACACAATCTATAAAGCATTTGTTTCAAGTTTGAAGACGCTGCGAAATGAAAATAATTTCGGTTTCGTGAAAGTTACGCGTCACACCGTAAATAAAAATCGCTTCAATTTTTTCTTCCAATGGACGAGAATTGACCATTTTAGAGATTTTTGACGTGGTACATTTCTACTAGTAAAACTGAAAACTAAATGAGAAGATTCTAACTGAACACTGATGTTCATTGTCGTACTGTACTGACATTTTTTGTCGTTTTTAAAAACAAAAAATAACTTAACAAACCTTATCGGGTTGTTCGAATTGCCACATGGCAGATTGAAAGGAATATTTTTAGAAATATCAATATTGATGTGTTTGTCTACAGGAAATTATCAAATGTTCCGCCATTTTGTAGTAGGTGAAGATATTGACTTCATATTCTAGGGTTGTGAAGTATTCATCAGGAACTTCAAAATGATGTGTCACAAGACCCTCCCTCCCATTCAATTTTTTTCCCAGATAGCGCCCAGTCGCCATCTTGAAAGTTTCATCTGTCAATTTCACTTCAAAATAAAGTATCCATACAATAATTTCATTATCCCTAATTTCAATTTCTTGAGTTGGCCCGTTCAAAAAATAAAAGAGGGGGACATTAAAGAAATGCACTGTATATTTTTCTATGTTGCTAATAACCCTAGTGGTGGATGCAACGATATTTCTAAATAAAAAAAAGATTCAACTATGCCAATCATCTCATAGGAAACACTCATAATTTCATACATAATTCGAAAATTCTACGCATTCAACCACAAAGTCAGAAATCAAATATATCGGAATATATAGAAATCATAAAACATCTTGCTAATAAAAACAACATCGTTCTGAATGATCAGATAGATATTTATAATTCACCAATTATCAATAATATTACTAATAATTTCCTAAATGCCCCTTGATATCTCTCTCTATCCACTGATGGAACTTTTAGTTCCATCAGTGGATGGAACATCATACACTTAGGTAATGGAAACTGCATGTCTTGTACACAAACATAGGTCAAAATTTGAATATATTTCTTCGTGTCATAGCATTCGCCTAAAATCTAAAAATAATTTTAAATTACCATTGCCTTCTTCATCCCTAGTAAAGGACTCCATTTTCTATAACGGTGTTAAAATGTATAATCACTTACCCTCTCATTTTAGAAATAGCTACGATAGTATTGACAGCTTCAGAAAATACACAAAAATACTTCTCGCGAGCAGACCCTATTATAGTTTGCAAGAATTTTAGAATGACAACTTCCAGTGAAATTGTAATTTATTGCGGGTACTGTATAGCATACTCGATTAGACTGTTAAATTATAAGTCATAAAATTGACAAAATGTTCAAATAACATTTCATGATTGATATTTTATTTATTCATTGACACTTATTCGATTGAATAAAATGTATAATTGATAAATGTATATGTTTATATACTGCTTGTTTATATAACAACTTTATTTTTATTCTATTTTATTTATATTTTACATAATTTACATATTTTGACTAAATTTTTTTTTCTGTACGTGTATATTCTACTTTGTCAACAAAACAAGAGTTTTTTCGACAATAAAGTATATTTTGATTGATTGATTGTTTATAAATCGCTCAGAAGATGACACAGTGTGTCGAAACAGCTGTTAGCATTAAATTTTGGTGTTGTGTAAATTTTGAAGTATTATTTTCATCCTACCCTTTCAATTGAAATGAATTAACACATATTAGAAGCTGAAACTGTAGAACATAAGTATTTCTACAGAATTTTCAGAATGTTATACCAAAGTTTTTACATAGATTATGAAGAAAAAGAAAAATATTGATAATAGTAGTAACTGAAAGTTAAAAATAATATTTCATAAATTTTACCTTCGAGCAGTAGACCTACTGTCGAGACTTCCCATGCCATCAAAAGCGGAAAAATTGCCATCAGGAAACCCGTTGTGTGATGGGATAGGTGAAGGTGGACTAGCGAGTGAAAAAAATAATAATAATAATCACTATGCTGAAAATCCATTTGTATGTATAAAAAAACAATTACTATATAATCTTTTTTATCTGATATAGTAATACTAGTAACCTCCAATTTTCTATCATCAATCCTTTTGAGAGTGCGATCGATGGGAGAATGTATGCCATAGTTGGAATGTGGAAGAGATCAGGATTTCTGAGAGCTCTAAAAGGCACAACCCTCACGGCACGACAACCCTCAGAAGTCGAAACTTGGGCGAACTATGGATTAACGAGGTCTTGCCTTTTAACGTGTGATCCCTAACACGGGTAGGACAACAGCAAGTGAAAATCGATCGTTCAGACTAGGGTTTGAACCACCGACCAACACGGCAGTCAATTCGAGAGAGTGAACAAAGCACCCATGTCGAACCGCCTGGCTAGCGACGACATGTAGATGGATTTTATCTAAGAGTTCAACAACAACAACAACAACATCAACAACATGATACAGTATTTCATGCTATAATGAAGCTGTAGAATTTGCAAATTGAGTGAATTTCTTCTTCAGTTGTCACATGTTCCAGGTCATTAAAATGAAAACAAAAACAACAAAGCCCGAGCACATATTACTGTTTGACACAAATTTCAGGTGGTCTATACCGGATAATTTTTTTATGGACAAACACAAGCACTACAGGAAAATCCTTAAGACGATCTAAGAGCGGTGCCTGTGCGAAAATAGCGATTCATGTTGGATTTGAATCGATGGAGATTAAATCCATTTGGACAAACGTTCTCAAGAAGTTTATTCCACATAAACGGAGTTATCCAAATGAAAAAGAGTTCTTAAACAGTGAAGTTCGAAGTGTAGCGAGTTGAACCTCAAAACGATGAGCAGTCACAGTCCGTCGCGTATTTCTGATAACGCTCTTGGTGGAATCAAATGTGACAAGTCACTTGAACACCTCCCGTGAAAGTATTTATAAATGAGTGACAAATCTCCAACCTTTCTTCGACGTTTCAGACTATCAAGGTTGCAAGTGATGTTCATGTCAGATGGTTCTTTCAATAAATTGATGGATGTAGCCGTTACTACGTGGTAGGAAATCTTAATGAAGAAAAGAGAACTTTCTATGTTTTTTACCACTTTTATTTTTAACTAACGTTACTGCAGTTTCGTCCTACAAGGCCATTTTCAAACTTATACATTAAACTAACAATGGTTTATTACATTAGCCCTTATATAGCACCCCTGTAGGTAATAATAGAGGTACATGGCTTGATTGAGTACTTGAATTTACAATTTACAATGTGGATGTGCTAATTTGAAATCCGGTGAGTAAACTAAATCGATTTGATCATTTAACAGGTTGCACCCGCAATGTTTATGCTTGTGAATTTCCAAGGATTCTAAATAATTGAGTTTGTAACCCTTCCTTGCATAGTGCAAAATTTCCGTATCATTTAGATTTTTGGAACTTTTGGTTACATGCCAAAGAATTGTTTGAAAATGTCGAATCATGTTTTCCTTTCATGTTCAGCATACTGTTTTTGGAAATTTCGACCACATTGTCCCACATAAATACCATTACACTCCGGACACTTAAGCTCTTTTCTGGATGGGATACAGCAGATTCAAAGAATGCTTAGGGTCGGAGCTCCATATATGAGAACAATACTCCAAAGAAGGTCTGATCTGAGCTTATGAAACATCAAAAGTTGCTGAGATATGTACAGTTTTCTGGTTCTGAATAGTTTTCTGGTTCGGAACAGTGTTTCAAGCTTTCTAGAAGCAGCCTTTGCAATTCCAGCGACATGATCGTACCAGTATATGTTGGTGTCGAAGCAAAAAGCAGAATTGTCTGTCCTGATATCCGGTTCAGAAAAATACAAACAAATAACACACTGATTCCTCACGGTTCATGCCTTTGGCAAATCATAAAATACTCCTGAACTAACCGCCTTCTAATTCAGGTCGGTGTACATCTTTTTTAGAAAAAAAATATAAAGCATAGAGCATAGCACTAAAAGGACACTTACACTATGTGCGACAGATTCAAAGTTTTCTCAGGTTGCTCTGGAAACCTGGGCAAGTTATTCCTCTGCTTGTCAGGAACACAACGAAAAGATTTCCTCAATGACTGCCCGATGGTCTTGCTCGGGGACTACGATTAAATGAAAAATTGATAAGAAAAACTCTGACTGCAGATAAAATCATACTTACAAATGAAGCATACTCTTTAACTTGATGATCCAAATTATGTGGAGCCGAAACTCTTCCTCTCCAAAAACAATCTTGGCAGAGAGTATAATGGGGGCATTTTTGACACCGGTAACGAAAACCTGTGAAGTTTTCTCGCTGACACGCGTCACATTGGACTGGATGTATAACTGAAATGTGTTCCTCATATACTACTCTACCGCAAAAATTTAACAGATGGAACAGTAAAAAAATCAAAATATGTAGTTGAGAATAACAGAAGTATAATGTGATGAAGTGAGTCACTTTTCAAATTACATATTAGAAGCATGTCAGCTTTAGGGAAACAGCAGGTGTCAACTTATATTAAATAGAACATTGCAAATCGTTACACTAACAAGCAAACCTCGTAGCTTCATTTTTGGGCCAAATGGGGATTTTGGTATCGTCATCTTTAAAAAAAAACTCTTGGAACTGTGCAAACCTCATATCTCCACAATCTGTGTTAATTTCTTATTCAACATGAAGCAAATCTCTCAACTCCAAAACTTTCATATTGTAGTTGGTAGGCCTGGTAACTCCCCGTTGCTGTATTGTTGTTGGTATACAGCCTCTTTAATTTGTGTAACAGTTTGTGGTTAATTCACTGTTCATTCAAACTGTGAAAATCACCAAATTTTTCAAAGTAGGTGTCTATAAAAAGATAAAACAATCTCTTCATAGACGCTTTAAGTGAGTTTGCATTATGTTTTATGTTTTTGAGGTTATGTTTGTTCTTTCTTGGTGTTGAGAATTCTGATAACTACAAGGTCAACAAAACCAATCAAAACATTTATCAGTCTTCATTTGAACTAGGGATACCTGATATACAAACATTTCTTCTTCAATTTGTTTCCTCAAGAGTTCGCTTCATGTAGAGCAGCAAGAACTTTATCTTGTGAAGAATGGACATGTTCCTTTATGGCCTTGCACAAAAATTAGGTTCCACTATATTTTCATCTGTTTAAAAATCTGTTTTTCCGTTAACCAGCTGTCGCACCCCTACGAACGACAACCCTCAGAAGTCGAAACTTGTGCGTGCTAAGGACTAACGAGATCTTACCTTTTAATGTGTGATTTCTAATGTTAGGAAAGTAAAATTTACTAAAATGACTTCATTGAGCCCATCATTTCAACCTTTTCCAAAATTCGATTGAATTTTAGTTTTTGTTAGTTCAATGTAGCATTCTTCAAAAAAGCCTCAAATTACCTAAGCTGATTATTATTATAAGAACATAGGCTATCCGATTATTATAATTTAAAGAAATTAAATTAGCAAATAAAAGTTTACTAAAGCTCTAATTAATTTTATTTCATACAATCATTATGGACCTCAGTTGCATATGTTTTAACTGTTGTTGAGCTGTTCCACTAATTTTCCTTAAAGTTGACTTAGGAAAAATCTTTTAAATTAAAAAATACTCACCGCATTCAACATTTGCTATTCGATGTAAAAGAGGTAGCCATACCAAAGCCGGTGGCGCCGGATCAGACATCAAAGTGTCCAGGAAGTCATTTACGGTAATCTTTATATTCTGAAATTAAAAAAACAGTTTCGAACTCACATTCTCATCTACTCCAACGACAACAACTTACAGGATTGAATATAGAGTTGGCAAGTGAATCGGTGTAATTGAAAGTGGGAGATTCATATACAGCCGCGGGTAGGGCTAACACTTCTTGGAGGTACTCGTTGAACCTCCATTGTAACAGTAACCCGTTACTGTCAGATATTTGAGAAAATATGTCTGAAACATGGTGTAAAAAAGTTCTGTAATTGGCTCACATATATATGAAAATTTTCTTGTTTTATGTGTATCAAAAGAGTAAGTAAGTGTAAGATTATATTTCCTTGAATTAATAGTGAAAAATATTTTCAAAAACAAGCTATAATTAATAACATTTATTTGGTAAATAGGATACATTACTAATATACAATAACAAAACATAACAATATTCTAAAATCATGATTTATCATCTTATTTGTAATAAATTCAGTTACATTTGTTGCAGTAGTTCAGTTTTGATCCTTTTTATTTTAAGGAGCTGTTTTAATTGAATGAGGCAATTTGTTGTATGTATCAAAACCTTTGACATATACTGAGTTCATACTGTTTTTGGTATTAGTTCTATGTATATGTTTGTCAAGATTATGTCTGGTGCAATATTGGTGAAAATCACAATTGAAACAAATAGATTTTTTAAGATATGTTCCAGTTAAATCATTAACAATTTTATGCGCGAATATCATTGTCAGGTATAGAAGTCTCTGGAGAAATAAAAAAATTAACTTAAAAAACCCATCAAATTATTTTACATTACACAGTGTATATATCAAAACTTGTGTTGAAATTTAACAATTTTTAAAAAAAAAAACATAATTTTTGTCTTAGCATTACTAAGATCAAGTAACATGAACATAACGGAAACGCTAGCAGTTTTGTAAAAATATAAAGTGGCATATTAATGTGCTCAATTACAAATGTTACTCTATAAATGAAACAACATATCCGTAACATGAGAGATGGCTATGTTTTATCTCTTGCAGACTTTTACTTACGGTGAACCAATCAGAGCACAGAACCCCTATTTTCAATAACTGACAGTTACAAATTCTATGTCAGTTTTAGACTTTACAGTTTACTTAGTTTTTCAATCAATAATTTTTGATGTAAGTACATTGACAATTAATTTATTATCAAAATATCCAAAACTGAAACAATTTTGAAAGTTTTATTGCTTTGGTTCAGCGATACAGTATGTGATCTACATACCAAAATTTCCCCAGGAATATATTTGATGATGTAAAAAATTAATTTACAAGCAGATTATCTGAAATGAAGTGAATAGTGGAACATTTTGAATGTGAAATCAGTTTGAACTTGTTCTTCTATTGAAAAAATGATATTCATCATTTGCTTAAAAGATTATTAAATACAAACTATAACAGCTAATAAGTTTAGTATTTCTAGTCCAAAGGGGAATGTTCCTCAATTTGGGTTATTACAGCAAATGCAAGTTTGAACAAAATAAAGTTGAGTTTAATTCATGAGTTTTTCAAATTCACTTAGAAAAGTATTCAAATTGATGTTTCAAATGTTGGGTTTTAATTTTTAAAGGGATTGGTTTCTAATTCACATATTGGCAACAGCGCCTATATCAAGTAGAAATAATTTATTCGTACCTAGATATTCTACTTTAAAAAAGGAAAATTATCTTTATAAATCAACAATTAAGGCAACATATAAATTATAGTTCAATACCACCTCCACAAGCCACATAAACACCAGTTGTTTTGTTATTTATTTATATAGAGGAAGATAGGTTAGGTGCACAAAATGTCATATGTCACAGGATGTCTCGGAACTCGGAACATAAGTAAACAGAACAGCAAGCCTCTGAAATATGTCATCTTTGTTTGTCTCATATAGGTAACAGATTCATTGTCCTTTATTAACTATAACCGATGTTGCCAAATGGTGAAATAGAAACGAATCCCTTTAAATGTTGAATGCATTATTTCATTTCTCTTTTTTAAGTATTTAAATATTAAAAAAAAAAGTTGAAATTAGAAGTTCAAAATGCGTTGTTTTAGAGCTCTTTTATGAAAACTACTTGATTTTCGTCAGGAGGAAAATTCCCCATTACCAAAAATAAACCAGCGTAAACTGAAAAATAATTTGAACAAAATACGGCAAGACCCTCTATCTATTCGATAGTGAATGGTATCAAAAATAATGGCTATCTAGATGAAGTTTTATTAAAATTGAGTGTAGATGATACATGTAGTCAAATATTGTTTTTTATCTTCAAAGAGTTATTTATTCATTCACATGCAACTATTTTAATGAGGTCAATCACTTCCCTCATCTCAGATTATACTCACATCGTAATTTGTCCATTAATTTTCCAGCACATAATGTAGCGAGGGCCACTTTTATGGAAAATACTCTGATTTTTCCAACGTTATCCCTACAAAAGAAGTAACTTGGTCTGTCAATGGATGAGGTATGAACATTGACACTGTTCAATCGGTCAATTAAAAATATTTGAAAAGAGTCACTACATATACCTCATTAATTGAAGTAACACTTAACACTTTATTGTGAGTTTTTCTATGAACAGTTTACAAACCCGCAACACGTGTTTCGTTATACTGTAAAATGTTCAGTGCAAATCTCACAATAAAATTTTACTTTAATACGGATCGGCCAATATCATCACATATCAAACACTGATCAAATAAGAAACTTACACGGTGGCATACGCAGCAAGTATCCAATTCAATAACAAACTAGAACAAACATCAACATGAGCCTGCTGAGTCGGAGGGGCTCTTTTATTTAGACTGTGATAAAGTGAACACAATAAAGTTTCTAAACGAGCAACACTCAATTCCTGTGACGGTTCTAGAGCATGTAGACCTTGCTCTCGGAAAGCTTCTATAACATTCCATATATCTACAGCATGTACTGAAAAAAGAAAAATTTATTTTGAAATTGCAAGTCTACTGGTAATTTTCCTTCTGACGACTTGCGCTAGTTTTTGAAACATGTTATTGTCGAACCCAAAGTCAAAAGTTGGCTCTCCAGTCTACTTTCAGAGATATAGCAACTCAAGTCCAGAAATTAACCATTAAGAAACTCGCTTTAGATAATAAAAACTCGTAAAATAACATATTGTTTTTAAAAATGCTTACTGCAGACCTTTATTCACCAGTTACTTCCATATAATTCTATATAAAAAGTTCAATCTCCTCCAAATTGTTCCTTTTTTAGCAAACTACATACTATTATAAACAGCTTTTTTTCATATTACTGAATAACGCTTTTACAACACACTTTTTCCTTAGTCAAGAAATGAATGCGACATTGGCAATACATAAAAAATACAAAGAATAAAATTGTTAATGAAACAATCTAAGCTATAACCTAACCTAGCCAGAGCTAAATACAACAGGTGCAAATAAAACATTTATTGCAAATTTATTGAGAATGTAATGTTTTTTTTGAGTTGTAGTTTCCCTAATTGAATCTAACTTTGACTAGGTTGAGTGAAAAGTTTTGTTTCATTGAAGTTTAAGTGAAATTTTCAAAATCTGGCAACATTATTTTCATTTCTTGATATAATAATAATAAATTGATTTCATTTACCTAAAAAAGAAATAAATGTAGACACAAGTGATAAAAGTAAATTAGATGAGCATGCATATATTCAGCGTAAGCTGAATAATCGCCTGTTCACAATAATACAGGCCTAATTAAAATGAGTAATAATTAGAGCTTAGCAAAAATCGACATACAGATCACCAATACCCAGTATTTAAGAAGTATCTTCAAGCATTTTTTAAATGTCATTATCGTGTAAAAATATAGGAAAAACTATGACTAAAAAGTGCCGAGGTGTGTTTGCAAATGACCAGGACAAAGCCATTTCGCGTATAATAGTTGTTAGTCTGGGATAAACTAAAAATTAAAAAATATAAGATAAAATATGTATGTAGGTTAGCTGAGTTATGTATACACGTTATCCAGGATATCACAATATTTAAATTTGACTAAGTTGATATAAAAAATTCAACATTGTATCTGCTTTACTGTTACTAACACAAACACAATAGAAATAATACCTACTTATATATCGCAAACAATACCACATCACATTTCCCATTCAGTAGGTGAATAAAATGTAACAGTATAATTCCTGAAGGATTGTTACACAGTAAGATGATATCTCCAACTTGGTTCTAAAGTCACGGTATTTTTGGTGATATCATTTGGTAACTGTGACAAGGATGAGATGGTTATTTCCATCACTAATCTTTTAGAATTTGATTCCAAAAAATGAAAAGAAGTTTTCAATTATGAAAAGTTACAAATAGATGAATAATGGTTCCTACCTCCAAAAGTAGAGAAGTAGGAGCACCATTCGTGATAAGCTGACAAAAATACACGAGACTAATAAAAAGCTTTTCTAAAACTAGTGCGAGCCATTAAAATGGATATTTAACCCTAAAGCTGCAAGCCTCAACCTTTATTTCTCAATACTTACAGCTAACTTTTTTCTGTATAAATCTCAGCTTTGTTGCTGTTCTGTAGGAAGCAAATCTTATCAAATCGAAATTATGAGCACTCATTTCGTGAATCAATGCTAATCTGTGGTCCGAAGACCCGGAAAGGCCCTCTTGACCCTGCATGTCTGAAAAAACACAATCTTAATTGGAAGTAGGTTAATGATTTGTTCAAGTTACTTGATCCAAATTAAACTGTATGATATCAATTTAATTTATAATTAGTATAGATCACATATCGGCATAGATTGATTGAAAAATTTGTTTGAATATGGTCCAAGTTTACAGACCTCTCAAACATAAATCAAGAGTATCGAGAGCAACTCTATCTGTCAGTTTCACATGATAAACAGAATTTTCAATACAAATGTTCAAGAAAATGCATGTTGATGAATGAAAAGTTGAAGAAACTCACTCGTGCTATTTATTCTTCATGAAATTGATGAGATCATTGTCAATTTTAATGTCTTTTCATTTAAATTAGTGGAGCAGAAATTTCAAGAAACAGTAACATCCTCCATTTTCTGGGGACTCCTCCTTCTCCTCCACCGTCCTTCGTACCTTTTCAACCCGTATCACATATAGCAGTGTGTGACGGTAAGAGATAAAGAGAAGGATCGACAAAATTCTGTCAAGCATTGTCAAGGTTACAAAAATTGGAACGTTTCGTGACAGTTACAACTTGGCTCCCGTGTTTTGGAAAGAAAACTTCCGATTCATGAGAAGCTTTTATCCAAAGTAACTGACGTCATTTCAAAGAAATTCAATAATCAAAACAGATACATAGATATTACTATACAGGGTGTTATGTAAGTACGTGGCCAAACTTATAAGGGTGATTCTTTGGGTAATTCTAAAACAAAAAGTTCAAATAAACGTAAGTCCGGCAATGCTTTGTTTTCAAGATAGAGGATGTCAATGTTTGTGAAAGAATTTGTTTTTTTGTTTTTAAATATTTCAATAATCCTTTGCCGATTTTTACATTATTCTATTTACATCTCATTTTCTGTTTAAAAATTCTGAGTTTGAAGTTGGAATTCACAAATTACATTATGAAAAGTTTTATACCCTCCAAACCACGGGAGCGAAGTACTAATGTCGATGGGTTCAATGCTCCTAATTAACTGCTGTTAAACTTTTACCGCTAACAGCGGCACAATATTCACAGAACATCACATTACAGATTACAGTTGCAATTGAGTTAACGCCTAATCGAGTAGGCAACGCAGTGCCAAGGCTTCTAACGTCATTATCAGCTTGTCCAGGCGAATTTAGTCCAAAACGCATGATATGAGGTTATTTTGGACATTATTTGAAATTTGACATACTGAAAAAAAAACTGAAAGGCTAACAAAAAGGAGTGGATTTGTGAATTCCAAGGCTGTTTACCTTATATCGCTGTTATTCATACATTTTTCTAATTACAAAATTGTGTTCAGCGATAAATGAAAATAAATCTGAATAAAATATTGCTTCAATTATTATTGTCATCTAAAATTAGTTTTTGGACAACACAGAAAAATTTCGGAGATTTGTTCACGACATAAAGCTGTAACTAGTTAAGTCTGACACTATATATTTTTTTATTTCAGTATAATGGGCTATTAATTCCTTCTTAACTTCCTATGAAGTCTATTTATAACTATTATAAAACACGGTCGTCAGAACAAAGCAAATGTTAAATATATTTTATATTGTGTGGTCTATTTCTATGAAAGCGTAGGAGATCGACTAAAGTCGATATAATTCACAGTTACTTACAACTGAGAATTGACAAATTCACAGGTATGACTGTGAATTCACGTTTATAACTGATCATTTATGAGCAGCGTCTGTGAGCAGCAAATTCTTCGAATGTGCACTTTGCACTCGGCACAATAGATGTCAGTTTGTTACATTTATTGGAAATTAATTCAGTATATAATTGAAAAGACTCGTAACCTAACCTAATCGAAGTTGGATTCAATTAGTGCCACTAGAACTTCAAAAACATAACGCTCATTGGATCATTTCATACGAAATCAATCAATGGAAAAATAGTTTTGGATAATGACCTCTTGGATGTTTTTAATGTTTGCTTCGTTATTAGTACCAACAACGAATATCAGAAATCCAAAAGATTCAGATTTTTATGGAAATCAGTAGACACTAGATTAGATTGATAGGGGAGCTGACATATGACCTGTTTCACTGCAACCTTTGCATATCTGTTATGATACATCTCACATCCTGATTCATTTAGAAAATTTAAATTGGTGTCATTTTTTTCAGTTTTACAAGTCTTTCATTCAATATACAATATAAGTATTCAACTGGAATTGTTTTTCAGAAATAAAAAGAAATATACCAAATTTCAGTGGCATGAAATTATTTTATTTTTTCTATATCTTTTGTAAATTGCATCACTATTGCAAAAGCTCATCTCAACACAACCTAGCTCAATATTAAATATGTTATTCTATAAAACTCAAATAGGGCTATTGAAATTCAGTTACAGGTATAAGATAATTTCATAACATATCCTACTACGTAGGAGTGCATAAGTCAAGAAATTTGTGGGTTACGTAACATATGTTATCTATATTTGATGCCAAGAGAGGAAATAGTTTTGAGCTTGTTGAATTTTACATGCTTCACTATTTGAAGCTGCTCAATATAAATAGCGGAGAAGGTCCAATTGATAAAGACGATGACCTTTCCTATTATTAATAATAATGATAATAATATGACTTTATTCATCGTAACCTAATGTCACATGAAAGGGTGTAGTGTCGTTCGGTGAGTGTTATTATCACTCAATACTGGAAAATATAAGAAGTACAGATAAAGGAAGTGGATGAATTGAAAAAAATATTCTTTATCATTCTCTATCATTGATTTTATTATTTATTTTTTACATATAAATTTGCCTACAAAGTAATTATTGGAGCTTTTCGCAGACGCTCAAGTCATCTCTGGTTATGGCCCTTTACTGGTCCCAAGAGATCTTACGTAGGCTTGGTAGTTTTGAGCTGCATTATTATTATTGCAAAATTCGCAGTATCCTGGAGGGCCTTGAGGACCAGGCATACCCCTGAGTCCCGGAATACCTGAGGAAAAAAATTGAAAGCACTATAAAAAATATCCTAGAAAGTAAGCATTTTCAATTGAAAGAATGTATTATAGTAGTTTTCAAAAAAAGTTCAAAACACAAATTGATGAGCGCTAAAATGAATGCATGTAGTCAACATACGAATATTTTTATCTTTTAGGCATCTTGATGAACGTTTAAGTGTACCAACTTATACGACCACAGTAGGGACAACGCATGCTTTATCAATAAAATGCGGGATAAAAGATATTATTTTTGGGTTTAATCAGAGAGAACAAGAATGCTGTCTCTGTTCTGGTGGAGAAAAAGTAAAAAGTGTTTTCAATAGAATCATTTCACGCCAGCCACTTCAAATTCCACAAGTTACATTGTTCACATATTGTGGTTAGCTTAGGTTGTTCAGAGCAGTGACCACGTCACGTCGTTTCGTTTCCATTTCTGTGGCTTCACTTGTATCGTATGCACAAATTGATGACACATGTATATTTATGGAATAATTATTAAGGGCAACTATGAGATTCTCTTGAAATATATCCTATAAAAATAGAGGTGAGTTGTATATTTTCGTGGTTATTTCTTATTGTTATAATGTTACAGAAAATTGAAAGAAAAACTAAACAGACAAACTCAAAAACACAAAAAGATATTAGCAAACTGATATATGGATATGAAAAGCACAAAATCTTATGACGTTTTCTCTGTTATTGTACTGATAGAATTATCCACTAGATATGTTTCATTTCAGCGTCATTTCTGGGTATACTCAAAATAGATCTTTGGTACCCCCTTTTCATCACAAGATAAGTCGATTATCTTGCATGGTCCCACCGTTCGCGGGAGAGGGGTATAAAAGAAAACATACACATCTCTACTCAATGGAAAATGTTGTAAAAAGTTATAATGTTACAGAAAATTGAAAGAAAAACTAAACAGACAAACTCAAAAACACAAAAAGATATTAGCAAACTGATATATGGATATGAAAAGCATAAAATCTTATGACGTTTTCTTTGTTATTGTACTGATAGAATTATCCACTAGATATGTTTCATTTTCAGCGCCATTTCTGGGTATACTCAAAATAGGTCTTTGGTACCCCCTTTTCATCACAAGATAAGTCGATTATCTTGGTCCCACCGTTCGCGGGAGAGGGGTATAAAAGAAAACATACACATCTCTACTCAATGTAAAATGTTGTAAAAATGATGATACTTTTTTACATCTGATGAAGTTTCGATTATACACATATGAAATGATTTCAAAGTGTTCTCCAGGAGATTATATGACTGACATTTTCAGTTTTCTGTGAATATTATTTCATTATCAGTTTTAATTTATAAATTCATCATATCTTTTTTTATTGCTCGGGACCCATATCTATATAACTTGTGGGTTTCACGTTATATTCTACCTTGTCTTCCAGGTTCTCCTCTATCACCTTCTGGACCAGGTAGCCCGATACCGGGACTGCCAGGAGGACCTGAAAAATCAGCAAAAATAAAGCAGTTATAATAACAATAGACGAAAATCGAATATAGAATTTCAATACCGCTCAAGATTTTTGGAAAATCTATTACCTGGAGGACCTCTAGCTCCTGGAGATCCTTCAACACCAACACCTTCGGGTCCACGATCCCCTTTTTCACCCCTTTCTCCGGTAAAACCGATCGAACCTGGAGGTCCAGCTGGACCTGGTAATCCCATGAAACCCATTTCTCCTGGCAGACCTGGTGGACCTGGGTCACCTGAGTAGACGTAAATTATGTATCAGACGATTTACAGAGAAGTAGAAATATGATAGCATTTAAGATTTTTTTATTTATTTGAACAATAAAAGCATTATTACTATCATATTTCCGAATGAAGTTTAAGGTACCATGCAGTGAATGATATTTTCAAAATTACTCAAAAGTGAAAATTATATTACATGCATTCATGGACTTTTGACAATATGTGAAAAATGTGAAAGATATACTTTTTAATTCCTTATCTTGTCACAGATATTTTGACAAACTTGATGTTCCTATTTTATAACTATTTCTATATATTTTTATCATTCATAACAAAGAAATTGAAGCCACTGAGATTATTGAATATAAAAGCAATAGAAGCTGTCAATATACATCCTAGTGCAGCCCCTGATAGTTATTTGTGTACCAAGGGTAATAATTAGATGTTCTGTGGGAGACAATGTTCTAAACCCGAAGGCATACTTATAACATTAATTGAAAATTCAATTGAAATTAAATGATACTGAAGTGAACTCATTGTGGATACACCGGTAATTTTCGATCCTTGGGAGTTATCTCTTGCTATACCATAAATAACTAGTCAATTGAGATTACAACAATGCTTGGATTTTTTCTTCACGAAAGAAGAAACTCATAATGGAAAAAATGCACAAAACCCCTATTAATATGAGTAATTATCTTTTCGTTATGAGCTCTATTCACTGGCATCTAATCACAATGAGACTACTTATAGATGGCACCATATACCAACAATTCCATCAAAATCATTTGTGAGTAAAGAGCATTATATTCTTTTTCATGAATAGGAGAATAGGATGAAAATAAATCGGACCTTTGAAGGGTTAAACATTCATCTTGGTTTTTTCTTCCCATACGTTATGTGATTATTCAAATATATAATGTATTTCTGTTGAAACATAAAATACAGGAAAGTTGTGGAATTGATGACCTAATTCAAAAGAGCAGAAACACAACACAAAACTACGACAGAGAACAAGATAAATTATTAAACTGTACAGAATATATTTATCAAATTATGTTGATTGGATGCTTTGATGATCTTGCTGAAACATGTTCCTTAAGTTCATTTTTCGTTCAATGATGAAGAAGACTCAAATGGTGAATAAGAATATTAATACTGCTGATTTTCATAAGTTGAACGAATATTTGCAGCAAAGATCATAGAGATACAAGCTAAAATAGTTGTACAGTTATGTCTAGAGATGTTATGAAATTCATTGATGAGGAACTGAAAGAGACGTATTTGATGAACAATGTTGCATTAATATTTCGTGTATTTGGCTGTCGACAACAAGAACTTACGAATATTTTAGTCAACATTGTAAAAGATAACAAATTACTTTTTGAGGAAAACGTATCAGAGACAAATCCGGTAATAAACGCGTTTATGCCATTGTTGACATGATAGTTATTAAAGGATATTTTTTCTGACTTAGAAACAAGAGCCTGCTGAACATTGCAAAATATATATATTTGAGGGACAACAGGTGACTGTCTATGTCGATTATCGCAATTATTCTGGTGGAGGTAGGAGCCAGTAAGAAGGTAGAACCGTTATGGTGGATGGAACAGTATGTCAGTTGCTGAAGGGTATTTGGAGGACAACATTTCCCCAAAAAATGAGGTCCCAAGTCAAATATCGTGGATTTCATCATGACCATAAGTCGTGTACAGACCAATACAACAAGTATAGCGCAAAACGTTGGCGAATGTTGCAGAACATGTCACAGTAGCGTCCTCAATTCTGCATGCGCTCTCTGTTTTGCGTCCGTATTGAATGTTCCTGAGAAATCTGCTTGATTGACAAAAAAGGTTGCAACCGTTTAGAGGTTATTCGCGTTGAGCGGTATGCTTGTTGCATTCGTCTATATCCGGCTTTAGATAAACCTGTAACATGAATCTACGACAATGACTGCACGCAATCGAACTATTACGGGAACCCTGTAGAATTACCAGTTTAATGTGAATTCGACCAAATAGTATTAGGCACAAATTTGAATAATAGATACTTTGATTTTATATTCTGAAATTTCATCAATTAAGGTTATCATTAGATAATTATGAACTATGCTTACAATGTCAAATATACTTGGTAACAGTAATATAAGTAATGTTTTGTTTGTGAGTTATATGAATGATAAAAATAAATAAGAGAATAATTTTACTGTCAAAATATTAGTATTATTGAAATTCCTAACCTGGGATACCAGGGGCTCCTGTCTTTCCCGGTAGTCCACGTTGTAAGAGCCCAGGGGGACCAGGCGGGCCCCTCAATCCCAAAATTAGTTCTGTCGATCGCTCTAAGCGCAATATATAGAAGCATTAGTTCCAGCAATTATGATAATACTACTAAGCTTACTGGTGGACATGTTAGCATATTGCATAAACAGTATCAGCGCTGATACCATTACCAAGTTAAATAATACCTATTTGGAAAATTTTAATTTCTTAATGTGAACAACAGAATATCAGATTGTGGTAAGAAAATAAAGAATGTCTGCTCCGAAAGAGAATAGTTAAAGTATCCACGTATACAACATTAAAAATGTCAATAGAAAGGCATTACCATTCAGTGCTACATATTGAGTGACATTATATTAATTCATGACTTCAGATAAAACTGTCTATTTTAAAAAGATTCATGGAAAAAAGTTCAATTTCATGTTAAAATAATTCTCAATACCTACAAGCTGTGTCTGAATCCATCACGCTATATGATAGAATTTTCTAAGTAGAATAATGGACTAATGTCATCATACACAAAATATGTAATGTTACATAAGAGCAGTCATAAACACAGAATCTATTTCAATGCACATGAAGAATCAGTCACTTAGTTGAATGATATGTAACAGAAATATTGAACACTGATTTATGAAAGTGTAGAAGAATCACAAACATTGATATAATCATTCCACAATTCACATTTATAACTGTGAATTCTCAGTTATAACGAAAAAAATGACAAACGCACAGTTATAAATGTAAATTACGAAGAGCGTCTATAAACAGCTAACGCCTCACATGTATACTACGCATTTGGAACGATATATGTAATATGCACGTCAAATTAAATTAAAAAGACTGAATTCAAATTCTAGAAACGCTGGTCATAACAATTATAACTACGAATTTGTCAATTTATAGTTGTATCTGTGAATTTACACTTATAATTATACATACGTCGTTGAAAGTGTGAATTCACAGTTGTAATTTACAGTTTAACTGTAATTTCGTAAGTGTGAATTGTGACCAAATAATATTGACTTTTAAGGCCTTTCTACGTTTTCGTACTGAGCTAACTAGTATATTTTTCCAAAAGTATTATTTTAGACTCAATAATGCATGCGCTAACATAATCTTGTATTAGTTCTTTGGTACAGACACGAATGATAATAGAGTTACAGATTCGATCTATTTTGATGTTGCACATTTTTTTTTCTGGCGCCATGTTTGTTTTTTTTTTAGTTTTCATAGTGGAAAATTTCAATCAGTTTTTGATAGATGTCACAAAAACATTGATGTCTTGTGATTATTTACCAGAAATTGTAATAATTAACTGAATAAAATGAAAACATTGTTGAGTTTGACAATAGAACTACAAAAACATGACGGATCGATTGATCAATTCGGTAACTCTTTATTATTCTGTGGCATAGATATCTATACCTGGTGGACCCTGAACGCCTGGAGGACCTGGCCTACCAGGTCTGGACTGACCTGGAGGTCCCGGAGGTCCAACCAGAGTCGATGTCAACTCCGTGAGTTGATCTAGAGAAATTTGAAATGGAAACATAATAAATAATGATTGTATATAAATGTAGAAACTAGCGGATAAACTGAAGAGGGTATAGGTCAATAACGTTCGAAAACTCAATTTGAGCGATGCATTTGGACTATATATTCATTCCGTATTCGATTTGATATCTGATCACTTACGTCACTGACATAGGTTTCATGAATCTTATCACACCTTGAAAAATGAGGTTCTCAAAATAACCTGTCGAAAGACGAACATGATGCCAGTAAGATCCTTACCTGAAAGGGCGGTCCAATAAGTACTTAGCATACAAAAAATATGAAAATTTTGGAAAAATGGCGATTTATTTATAAACCTAGCCTTTGTTTAGCTCGATACACTTGAAGGCCTACAAAGTACGCCTCCCTGGCGGCCATTTCTGTCTGGCGAATGACTTTTTCAAGTTTGAAAAGAAAAAATGTTGAACGGGGCCAAATCTAGAGAATGGATGGGATAGCAGTTCGTAGCCCAATTCGACTAATGCAATTAGCATCGAGTCGGCCCAAATATTCGGCATAGTAGAGCCCTTTGACCATTTTGCTCGTCTGCAGGTAGTCGATATAGATTCAACCTTGTGAATCTCAGAAAACAGTGACCATCACTGTTTAGACTGATCCTTGGTCTTTGGTGTGTACCAGTGAATCCGTGTTTCATCGACGGCCACGAAACGACGCAGTAACTCCTTCGGATTGCGCTTAAACTTCGTCAAACACTGCTCTGAAGTGGTCTCACGGTTGCGCTTATTGCCCGTAGTAATCAAACGTGGCACTCATCGCGCAGACAGCTTTCTCATGCTCAAAATGTAATGCAGTAGGATATGACCCACGAGGTTTTTTGGAGATGTCTACCGTCTCAGATATCTCGTGCATCTTCAATCGGCGGTCTACCAATGTGAGATCGTAGATATTTGTCACGTTATCCTCCATGGTAGCCGTTTTCGGGGCATCTGGGCATAGCTTATCAAATACGTACGATCACGTTGACATTTTTAACGGTTGCCATCGAAGGAGAAAAGTCAGCGTACACAGCATCTTTGCGTTCTTTGAATTCGCCGCGCGAATTGAATGCCAAAATCGAATTATCGACGGATATTTCCCTTTTGTCATTTTTATCCGCAAACTTCTATACGTGGTCAAAACAAAACTACGAGTCCGATTTGGGTGAAATTTTGAGAGTAACCGTTTACGGTAATGTATTACACGATATTAAATGTCTGTTGCGATAGTGGCGCCATCAGGCAGCGAGGCTAAGTACTTATTAGACCGCCCTCGTAAAGTTGCATGAAATACTAGGTCATTGACGTGAAGAGTCCTGCCTTCTCGATAGGGCTCTTACTCGAAATGAGTTTCAACGAACGTTCTTTTCGATATCTTCATCTCAGAAGCCAACTCAAATTATCGCCCCGTAAGTATTTTAAAAATATTTTTTTGATGGTATATTCAGAGGATATTTTTCAGTGGATATTTTTCTAAAAAAAAAAGGAATAGAAAAGAAAGCAAACAGATTAGCTTAAATGCTCAACTCCCGGTTATCTCATCAACAATATTACAGTTACAAATGTAATACACACAGGACATAGGTTTTCAGTATTATGATCAACAATCATAAAATTATTTTTCGGGATTTATTTATGAAAAAAAGTTTGACAAATATTCTGTCTCATTATTCGATATTATATATGAATTTTTGATGAATTCCAAATTCAGTGTAATCCAAAAAGTATTAATTAATAACGTAAAGTGATTTAGCTTACCTCTCAAGACCGCTGCGCAAATATCTCTGACTTCTGATTCCGTGAAGCTTCTACCCTGTAAAACGAATAAAATACACATTTAGTTTATATAGGCATAAAAATCACATGTTCCACATTGTATTACGAAATAGAGGAAAAAAATTCTGTCATTTATAAGGCTTTGTCAGTGAATTCAAGAAACACTTTATTATACAACACTTTTATATATGAAATATCGGCCAATTCTATCACATATTTGTCAGTGAAATTGAGTAAATTGAGTAAATTTGTCCACGGCCTCCCTGTTGTCGGGGGAAGTACAACCGTGGAACGGACAATCTGGGATGCAAACTCCTATAGAGATTCATAATTTTTCGGGTCTTTACGTCGAGTTAATACAGCTCCTCTCGAGTCCACTTCACTACTCCAAACAAGTAGAGTAAGATTGGAACGGCAAGCATATTTGTTGCAGCAACTTTGTTCTCCCCGACAGTTCCGATGACCAGATATGTCGATGTTTGTGTTGATACTTGCCGCGGAGAGAGTCTTTCACTGCTGTTACCTCTTGTGAGTGGCGTTGTTCCACCCCGAGGTAAGTATACGTCTCTCCGGCATCCAAATGGTACAGGATGCTTCCATCTACGAGCTGCACATCCTCTCCATAGTCCCCGCATCGTCCTCTTTTGAGATGGATCATTGCACATTTGTCTATCCCGAATTTCATACCGATAGCATGCGTGTACTGTTCCACCACCCTCAAGGACTGACACAGATTTTTATCCCGAATGGCATAAAGTTTAAGATCATTCATATAAAACAGATGGGTGACCTTGTGCCTCCGGTTTCCGGTGGTGTCACAGTTATACCCTTGAGTATTTCTGAGCGCAACGGATAATGGCAATAGTGAGATGCAGAAGAGAAGGGGACTGAGGGAATCACCCTGAAATACACCCCTTCTGAAAGTGACCCACCATGTTTGGACTCTTGCTTGAATAGATGTTATGGTGAAGCAAGTTCGCCAAAGTGGTATCAGTTGTTCAATGCATCTCACTATGTTGTCGGGTACCGCAAGGCATCTGAGCAAATGGAAGATGAGCTCATGCGAAATTGTATCAAATGCCTTACGGTAATCGATCCAGGACATAGAGAGGTTACGCTTATATTGTATCGAGTCCTGCGTTATACATCTATCGATGAGCAGGTTCTCTTCACATCCAGCGACTTCTCTCTTCGACCCTCTCTGCTCATATATCCGTTCGAACACTCGGTCAACTGCGGTGAGTATTCGTGTGTATGAGATGCTTGTAAACAACCTACAACACGAATTCAAGCATGTTATCAGTCTGTAATTCTTAGGAATCGACAAATCTCCACTGCTCCGGCTGCTCTTCGTCCAGCCATGAGTTGAAAACTCTGGTCAGATGGCGGTGGGTACTTGGTAGTTTTTTTATTATCAATACTATTATTAAATGTTTCCCAAATTTTCATTTTATATATTGAACTGACACTTTGAATACTATTAAAGATCAAGATATTCAGATGATGTGGTGCTGCAAGTTTTTCCGGGTTTTCCTGCAGAAAAAGCAAATGCGCCACTGGAATCAATGAAGTCGCCCCGGAGTGCCAATTGATTTTTATTGTTGTTTTATAATTTCATGATTTGTATTTTGAAAGTGTTATTGATCCACACTTGTCAAAAATTTATATGCATTTCAAAAATGTCATCCATATCTTATTGTATTTGTTTGAAAATGTCCTTATAGGACGAAACTGCAGTAACATAAGCTACGAATTCATGTCCAATGCTAGCAATCACACGTTAAAATATAAGATCTCGTTAGTCCTCAGCTCGCACAAGTTTCGACTTCTGAGAGTTGTCGTTCGTAGGGGGGCCACAGCTGGTTGACGGGAAAACAAATTTTTTCAATAGGCAATGAAATTTATAAGATATACCAAATTATATCTCATTCTCCTTACACCTATGTACGATTCCTCAATAGATACCAAGCTTATTGCCGTGACAGAACATTATTCGATTATCCACTTAATATGGTTTTTATCATGTTTATGCCGAATATTTCTATCGCTCAATTTCTCATTAAGGAGAATAATGACAGCAATATATGTACCGAACATATTACACACATAGAACCAGAACACAGGCACAGCAGAAATCTGTTATGTCAAAATGCATAAAAATGATCGTTCATAGCCGACCATCGTCGAGCTTCGCTTGTGCAGCCGTTACTTTTAAATCAAAACGCTAACGACATCCCAATGGATGGTAACTGTAACTAGGCGGTTAAAACTAGTGTGTTATGATTCTCATCCAATGTTTTAATGAGTGACTTTTTACGAATTTTATTTATATAACGTTTATACCCCAGTGATAATTTTCGATTTGAAAAGGTGAGATTTTATGATTTAATTATGATTTGGAGATATATGGCGTGTTTTCATCGAGGTCCCCAATGTCAACGGCCATTTAAACTGTTAAATGGACGAAATGTTTTTGAATTAAAAGGCCATGAACTTTATTTAAACTTCACGTGCTGTTCATAACTTGCATAATTACTCTTTGTGAATTCCATTGCAACAGTAAATGACATAAAAAACAAATATCCGAGTATGTGTTTTAAAGAGTTTTTTCATTTTTGATGATGTGACGGTTTGACTTTAATTCATCAATTTCTCCGTTAACGTTCGGCTAGTTTCCTTATAATTATGGTAATTATTATAATATGGATGTGTTTTTGGAGGGAATACTGCTGGTGATTCACTCTGCAAGATTGAAAACCATCATGCATGAATTACTTCCTCTGTAATAATAGTGTATAGAAGTTTTAGTATTATAAAAGTTATGAATTGATTTGAATACTACAAAAAAACCAGTCCATTACACATCAATTCATTCAACTTGATATGTTTCAGAAACCTCCAATGTGTGGTGCCTATTTTATTCAAAAATTGACATATCAGGGTTCTTTCTTGCCCCAGTGAAAATATTTTGAGGTTATTACTACAAAAAATGTAAAATTGTGATATATTTTATAATCGAAGATCAAAATGTTTATTTTTTGTGCATTTTGTTATGATTATTTATATAGGATAAGAAAACTTGATAATCTTATTTATAAAATAACCTTATTGTCTCCAAACAATTCTAATTGTATGGAAACTCTGAAAATTTGGAGAAGGTTGGAGAAGTGATTAGATTTGATTGATGATGATTTTTTTTAGATGAAACTTGATTGATTTTATGAGGTCAAGTTAGAAAAATATGGATATTGACACTCCTAAATAATATAACCCCTTCAATTCAGACAGGAAACAGTTATGTTAAAATTAAAATTTTATAATGTCTAAAGTTTGGAAATAAGGTACTTTCAGATATTGGTTGTTCTTTGTTAAAACTTTCAATGAAGATTATCTAAAGTGGTGGTAAATTTTTAATATTTTTGAATACAGATAGTTTTAATCAGACTACCCAGTACTCTTAGCTAAACAGATACTGTATTAATGATCAAAATCTATACAGGTGAACAGCTCAGATACATATTTTACATATACATAAGTGACACATATCCTGAGCATTTTGTTCATTTTGAAAAAACTACAGTATAAGTCATTTTCCAAAATATAAATTCTAGGTACCTACTCAGTATTAGTAACACTTGCCTTGAATATCTTATAATGCTTTCAGCCAGTGAATATCATCTGCTGTAATGATGTTGTCCTTACAATAATGAAAAATTCATATATCGAAATGGGTAGGACCTAACTGCAGAATGATAAAATATTGCAAGCCGAACGAATTGTTGATCGATGAAAAGTTTTTGAATTACAGAAGGTGAATCACGAGTAGAGACACAGTCCCTCGATGTTAGATGAAATATATTTTCAGTGAGTTTTGCAGGTTACTTGTGGCTATATTTAGTTATGTTTTTAACACCTCCCTTCTGTTCCACTACTGACTCCTAAGATAAATGCTAGTAGAACTTCAGATTTTCAATACTTAAATGCCAACTATACCAAGATATTGCAAGTTTTTCGTGGTATCAGTATCTCTGAAAAATCTCATTTCACATGATTCTGGACCATTAAAAAAAATTCTGGAATTTGGTTCAAAAGTCTTCATAAGATATCCTTATATTCAACTAAAATGAATTCCTTACAGAGTGTTCACAGGTGACAAATCAATTTTGTTCAGTTTTAAAGATCATTATTCTTGTTTTTTTTAAATGAAATACCCTATATATTGGAACTTCATATCCCAATTTCCTTTCGAATGATATATGTTGTCTGAAGTATTGAGTAAATAAGGATTGAGTCATTGAATTTGCGATGCCTCAACAAAGGTAAGATTTTATGCATTATGTAGGTATTGTCAAATTGATGAATATTAGTAAATGATGAATAGTAAGTTTTTATTCATTAATACACTCAGAAGGATCCATATCAGAAACATCTGAATTGGAAGGTTTTCGAAAGATTGTTGTGGATATTACTTGAACCTGGTTCTGTTGATTACTTGAAAAAAAAGAATAGACACGAGGTAACTGGAAATGAATACGATGATTTGAGGTTTGTAGCTTAGAATCCACACTTTAGGTCCAGACAAATTTCAAGAAACACTGTCATACCTAGGCTAGTGTAGCATCAGCAGAATATTGCGAAAACAATTCTATTATTCCTATCACATCCTGGCTTCATCAGAATTTGTATGGTCATATCTACCAGTGTTTATGGATAAGTGTACGAGCAGGATGTGTGGATGATTTTTGAAAGTACATAGGATAGGAAAACACATTTCATAAAAATGACCTCGTAAGTAGGCATAATTTTCAATATTATGAAATAGAATTCGGTGAAATTTTTGGAGATAATATAATTGGACCCTATTTTTCAAAGATGAATGAAGAATGAATGAATGAAGAACAAAATTTCTGCGATTTTTGAAACGTAACTTTTGGGAAATCCTCGATCATGTTCCTCAGAGAATGTGGTTACAATTAGATGGTGCTTCTGCTTATTTCCAAGTATCCATAAGTAGATACTTGATTAAAAAAAATTCCAATAGATGGGCTGGTAGGGATATCATTCATAACTGGTAAGCAAGGTTACCAGATTTGGTTAGCATAGATTTCATTTTACCACCCTTCAGGAAATTAATGGAAGAATTGTGAATAGTTTTACAACGATAACTAAGGCCTTGATGAGTGATGTTAGATAATTGAACAAAGGGAAAGCTATAGGAAAATGACGTTTGATTTGAAGATTCATTATAGTTCTTTGAGAATTAAGTAACAAATGAAACCGTTACTTATTCGACATCTTTTAATTTTATTAAGAGGTGGAATTGATATTTTCTCATTGCGCCCAACCATCAGTAAACTATGTGAAGTTTTAGTATGACTTTATTCATAGAAAAACGACCATTAACTTGATAATATGTAATGAGCAATGCCATAACTTTGTTGAATCATCGAAAATTAAAACAATGAACTAAACTCGTTTTTTACTTGAAAATTTTCAATTAAAGGGATAGGAACATCATGATTTCAAAGAAGAAATTAAGGAACTAACATGCAGTTCAAATATATGGGGTTTTCAGTTCATTTAAAAACCAAAAATTTTGTTGTTCGATACTAAACAGAAATGACCCGTTATTTGTGAATACTCTGTAAGAGAATCATTCGAGTTGAATAGAAGAAGAATATCTTGAGACATCTGAACCAATTTCCAGAGACTTTTTTTATGACTGATTGAATATGTGTCTTTTTGAAAGACTCTGATTTTAAAAAAAGTTTCGATATCTCGGAATCAATTGCATTTTTGTATGGATAACCTTAATGAATTTATCGTAGAATTCAAAAATGTATTTATTTTTTTATGTATACGGTTAATCTCCACGAGGGGATTCTCACTCACTCAACCTCAATGTTTGTATGAGTGTATCGATGTAAATATATAAAATTTAAATGATATAAACTCAAAATCATCATCCTAGCTGGTTGTCTATCAAATTATGTTGCTACATTGTCATAATTATTACGCTTGGCTTCTCGCATAAACTTTGACATGGGTGAGAAGTATCCATAGTTAGTATGGTGATTAGAGACAGCAAAAACGTCATTGTTCCTAGTTGAACGAACAGGTAATTGCAATTAATGTCACCTAATATAATTTTGAATCCGTTTCTGTTTAAAATCTGTTTTTTCCGTTAACCAGCTGCCGCACCCCTACGAACGACAACTCTCAGAAGTTGAGAAACTTGTGAGAGCTAAGGATTAATGAGGTCTTACCTTTTAACGTGTGATTAAATAAAGTAACGATATCGTTATTTGTTCTACGAAAAGAAAGGGTGTGAATATTCACTATATCAAGTATATCCGAATAATCATATTCTCCAACTGTGAGGCCAGATTTGAAAGCAACAAGTCTGAGGAATCTATTTTGCACTGCTTCAATATTATTTATATGTACAGTATAATAAGGGGACCAGACTGGTGACGCATACTCCAAAATAGATCTTATATAGGCTAGGTAAAGAATTCTGGTGGCATCTTAGGTAAAATCCTCACTATTTCGGAAGACAAAACCTAGAAGTTTCGGAACTCTATTGATGGTTTTGTTAATGTGGGTGATGAATGAAAGATTCATATAAAAAATTATACCCAAATCTCTTATTTCATTGAGCCGTTTTAGATTGACATTGTCATGAACATGGTTGAATATAATACAGAAGCATTTCCCTTAATTTAACGACATTACATTGTTTTCAGACCAAACATTGAATGGAAAGGGGATGTCTCATTAAAAAAACAATAACTTTGATATGCTACATATTTCAGGGGCAGCATGTATATATGAAAATGGTTCTGAAACATGGCCACATGCGACCTGCATATTCGTGTAATGGAAATGTTTTGTATAGTTCTCAGGGATCGTTTCGTTATTCGTGATTCCTTGTCAACAGCACAAATTATTCATCATCCACCAATTTGAAGGGCATGTTGAAGATTTAAATAAAGATTAATAATGTTGAAAATTGTAGCCTGTTGTGTAATTGGCTAATTGAGTCATTTCTTTGAAAATACTTGAACTAAAACTTATGGAAAAAATAAAAGACGTTTCTAAACCTGTTTTTTTGAGCCGGGACAGTCCACAGAAACAAATTTACTAGCTCGCAGATCGTTCTAAATTAATTTTTTTTGTAATGGCCCCAAAATGCAAGATCCCTGCTGAAGAAAATATCCAATTAAATTTTCAAGTAACTGGTTTTTCGTTTTGTATTGTAGGCAGATTCATTACAGATTGAAATTTATCATGGAAAAAATGCAATTTTGGTTTTTCTTCAGTACATAGTTTTTCAGAGACATAAAATGAATGCACATCTACAGAGGCTTTGGTGGTTATCCTAAAATAATAAATATTGTGGTGAATTTATGCACACTCGATGGGCAAGTAGCAAGTAACAATTAGGAAGTGACAATTATCAATTAGGTACACTAGCCAACAGATGAGAAAAAAAATTGCGACTAATATTATAATGGCTATACATGAGAGTTTAAAGCATCCTGACTTCGACTTCTATATCAAAAATTTTCCATCAGGTAAAGATTTTGAGTTTTAGTTATTTTTATTTTATACAAAAATGTTCACATATTATAGGGAAATATAAGATCAAAACAAGAAAAGAACAAGAGCACAACAGACTTTATTTACAATACACATGAAAAAACATTCAAATGAAGTCTTTTGTGCATAACCTTTTTGCAAATGTTGACTTTCGTTTATATGTTTCATCGTTTTTCCTCATAAGGAACCAACAATAAGCCCCCATCATTGCTGCATCCCATCTGCCTTGGTAACGTTGCTCCATTGTCAGTATGTCGTAGTGGAACCTTTCCCATTGTTCGTCACTGACAGCACCCAAATTTTCTGGGAAAAAATTCAAATGGGAGTGCAAGAAATGGATTTTGAGAGACATGCGACATCCCATTCTGTAGTAGTTTTCAAGTAGTTTTTCTACAAGTGTAATTTTATACTTTCTTATTTCCTAAAAACTCCGAAACAATTCTTTTGAAAAAACTCACGCAGCTAATTCAACATTACTTAATTTTTGATCAAACTGTTGATCACTTAGTAGTTTTCTAATTTGTGGTCCAACAAATGTACCTTCCTTGAGCTTTGTATCACTTAATTTTGGAAAAACGTTTTTAAGATATTTACACGCATCACTTTCTTTGTCTAACGCCTTTACAAAATTTTTCATCAACCCCAGCTTAACGTGTAATGGAGGTAACAAAACGTTTTTGGGATTAACAAGAGGTATATTCTTCACGTTAGCTTGATCTGGAATATATTCGTCTCTCGGAGGCCATTCTTTTACTCGATACTGGCTCTGTGTTCCCCTTCTGTTCCCAAGGCAAAGAAAACAGCAAAACTCCGTAAATCTGCCCTGAAGACCTAGTAATAGTCAGATGACTTTTAGGTCAACACATATTTGCCACTTATACCTATTATAACTTATTGCATTTAGAATAAGTGACATACTTTCGAGTGTTTCCTTCATGGCAACTGCATGTGTAAGAGGAATAGAGGGTCTTTTGTTACCATTATGGAGCACAACGGCTTTTGAACTTGATTCAAACAAATCTATAAGTAAACGCCATTTGTCCGGGTTATGTGCAAATCCTAATTTTTCCATCACACCATTTGGATTTTCACAAACACACATTTTTTCCAGCATAGTAAAAACCGAGGATACCTCATGGTTACGGTTTCTAAATATTGTAACTTTGGTTTTAGGTGCTAGTAAATTTCATTGTTGTAATCTAGACCTCAATAGTTCAGCATTCTTTTTGGACAAGTGGAGGTCCCGAACCAACGATTATGGACATACGTCCCGAA